TAGCATTTGTCCCGTCGAGTTGGTGAGTTAGCAAGTTAGCAGTGTTGGTGTATATAATAGTGTATGTAGACCCCCTAACCTAGGGTCTTTCGTCCGTGTGTGCAAGGTGCGCCCCGTCGAATCCGAGGTCCCACTGACTATATTTACTTACGGACGTTAGTAAAACTCACTAGTTCTTTTGTTACTTTCCCATATCCTCACTATCTCCATTCTATAAGACTTAGCTAAGCACGCTATAGCGAAGATGGTCAAGTCCTTACATCACTTCATACACTCTACCACCTAGTATGCATATCTAGAGCTATCTTATATTGCCTATTACCTATTTACCTATTTACCTACCTCACAACATACTGAATTCTAATACCACCTAATACATGCCTAGACAGCTAGAGTAGCAGCAGCTGTTTTGTGCATGTACGATGAATTAATCTCCATTTCTGACACGTGTGGATCATAGCAAGAAAAAGAGGAAAAAACGGGCATGTCAATCTGAAATGACGGGGTGCCTGAGCCAAACCGAGAATGAGCGATTTCTGGTTCGGGCCCCTTGTTTTCCAGTGTTGGAATGGCCCACCAAATCAATCATTCGCGGGCCGTTCTCCCCAATCCCCCTATTCGGTAGGTTATTAGCTTCTCTGCCAACGTCCAACTCTTGTTTATTACCTGCTAGGTAGCTATCCATCTCGTTTGCAAACATACGACATACATACGCGAGATCGTTCTATTAGTATGCACTTACTAACACGAACCAACATCACCGGTGTGTTTCCCAAGATGAGGCTCATAAGATATAGTGATATACATGACACCTATGCAGGTAAGATATGCTATACCTACTAGGTCTAGGGGTCTTACGACCCCCCCGTAATATCCCATAGCTTAGCTGCTTAGTACCTACCTACCCACCTACCTAGATCCCCTAAAATGATAAAGAAGCCCTAAAGAATAGGGGAAGAAAAGTGACAAATTTGCACCCATCCCTTACTACAGTCTACGATGTAATCAACAGCAGTACCTACCGTTATAGGTAGGTCAGCATTATTAAGTGACAGGTGACATATCAAGCGCATACGCCGCGCGTCGTCTTTCCTGTAACGGGCGCGGTTCCTTACCCCGTTTGGAGAAACTGGCCGTAGGGCTGCCGCCAGCGCCAGCACAGCTAGCTCTCACCGGCCGCTAGTTCGAGACGGAAGAGCCTCTCAACTGCCGCTCGGTGTGATCTCTGCCACGAGCGCATCTTCACACCCATACTTCCCTCCCCCCCCTTTTAGTCTCCCCCCCTACAGATGGGAAAAAAATATGACACTTTCAATCTCGGTTTGCCTCAGCTGTCATGCAAGCCACCCGCGGAGCCCTATCGACCAAGAGGTCCGGGTGCAGGTAGCGAGGGCGCGGGAAGCCAGGGAGCTAGGAAGCTTTTTTTTTTCATCATCTCTTTTTTCATTGGGTCTCGAATAACGCGGATGCGAATCCGGAGGAGCGACAACATCTGATCTGATCTTTGTGCGCGCATTGCCGCCCGCATACATACATAGGCATGCTCGCAAGCTGAGCCTAGGAAGGGCCTGGCCGAAACCGCTTTGTCGCTTCGGAAGCCCAGCGCCGTCGTATGCGGCATCTGCGTAGCGTCGCAGGTCGTTTCCGTTCGCTCGCCCGGAGCATCGAGGCGCCGAGTTTAGGGACCAGAGCGCTCGTACGTTCGTTCGTCGGTGTTAAGGTCGATTGGTACTGTGTCGGTAGGTAGGTTGTAAGATAAAAATAAAAATAAAAAAAAAGTTGGCGTTGCTTGCGAGTGCCGTGCCGTGCCGTATGTTCAGCAAGACTTCGCGCGGGCCAAGAGAAAAAAAAGCCAAACAAAAAAAAAGAGGAAAAGAATTTATGGAACTTCCCGGCGTCGCTCCTCGTTGCTACTACCCCAGGTTGGAATCCCCGGATGGAACTGCGAAGGTAGTAATGGACCTGGTCTAGGTGTGCATTCGACCTCACCTTAGCTAGCGACGGAGTTGCCGCTTTCTAGACTGCATATCTACGTACCCATGGGCGTGGGGGAGACGAGAAGCTCATGGTGACATCTCGGAGCCTTTTTTTCGATGGTAGTCCAAAACTTGGATTTCGCGCATACGAGGTGTGAACACATGTACGTACGGTCGTTCGCATCTTAGTCTATAGTATGCGCGCGGCTAGTCAATACAGTACCTAACCCAGCCATATACTGATTACCAAGCCGCTGTCATCATCGTGGGTCGGACCTAACGATGGGGGGATAAGAGACTTCCGGATTACAATCGGTATATGAGATTTCTCATAACTACCGCATCTTCTACTTCAGTATTGTCGGTCTATGTTACGCCTCAGGGGACAAACTAGACAAATGGGGAGGACGGAAGATAGACTGATGGACAGGTGGACATATCGAAGCACGCTTATACGTATAGAGAAGGAGAAGGCAGATGCCGAGCCATGTATGATAGGCTTATGAGATTCAAACCAACGAATCCCCCACTCGATAGGCAGAAATAAGCACCTGAACGCTACGGTGAGGCAAACTATCTACCCTTAATCGAGATGCTCCATCGGGCAATATATCCATCAGCCTCCCCTATCCGCTGGTTACTCAAGTTATCTGTCGCTACGACTCGGACCGGCACAGCAATGGCCCTACTAAATAGGTACTAAATTCGGCCGACCTATTTCAGCAATGGAGGATATTGGTTATCTAGGGTTCCTGGACTGGGAATATCGTCCTCGGTAATGTAAGGCTAAGGCTCATCTGCATGCCCAGGACTCAGCTTCTAGAACTTCGGTGAAATTGAATTGCCCCTATCTTAATTACCTGCAGAGAATTATCAATAATGACCGGTCTTATTTCTATGCTTCTGTCTTTTATGAATTGCGTGTTTTAGGACTCTCTAAACTTCAGTGCTAAGAGGCATACTCTATGAGAATAGGTGGTTAATTTAGGTATGCCGACTCACAACACCTGTTCAGCACTCCTAGATTTATTCGACGCATACAAGTTACATAGGTAGGTTTACAGAAATGTGGTAATGGTACTTTCAAGGGGTAACATCAAGTTGTTGCTATTTCAGCATACAACCCGTCGCTGATGTACCTCCCTAGACACTCATGAATCCATAGAGTAACTACTAGTTAGTTTTTAAGTTGAAACCCCTAACATCAATTACGTCTGGGACTTTGTATCTTGATTCCCTGACGATTTCCATGAACCTGCTACCGACAAGGTCGTCTTAGCGCCTTCGATATCCCTGAAGTCTTGTTCAACCTAAGGAAACTCTCTTCGTCTAGGTATCGAATACCGAGTCTCTTAGAAGTAGCCGATCTCAAGAGCGATACATCACCGTCTGACGGCAATTCTACCTTGAAGCCTGTCATGTCATGTTTATATAGTCTGAGTAACACGCTTTTCAAGTTTACCTAGTAGCATATTGCGTAAATTGACTTAGAAACATCATGCATTCCAACGTACACATTCAACTAGATTGCCCCTTTCATCTCGTACCAGATACCTCTCTTCTCGTAAGTTCCAAGTATCCCAAGAGTTCATTACTAGATACCCATAGTCTTTACTAGCGCTCATGCTCACTTAGGTAGCAAACCCACGGAACATCCCCCTTTCCCATCCGCGAATCTTCGCATTGGGAAGGTAAAGGTGAGTCATCCCACACCCACGCCGGCGACCGCAGAATTAATCCATCATTCACAGCGTCGAGAAAGCCGGTCTAGCCTGTTTTTCGCATGATCGAAAGCCTGGCTCGAGAAGGTGGATGTCCGAACAGCCGGCACGACGTAGCACGACTCGTAGCACGACCTCGGGGCTTCTTTTACGGTCTACGAACCCTCGGGAAACCTGCGTAGAAGCCAGTATCCCGCGAAGAATCTAGCATGATCGCAGTCATGCCACCATGCTGAATAGGGGAAGGAGGACGATCGCCGCGCACACGGGCGTAGCCGTTCGGCCTATGGGCGAGCGATCGCTGCACCATCCGGCTAGCAGATTCCGAGGTATGAGGTATGACGAGAAGCAAAGCCAGTTCTGGGCTGTCGTAGGACATGCATGGGATGGATTTGCCAGTTTTGATAACCTTGTGACACCGCTCCGTGCTGAAGGGGGTGAGAGGCCAGCGCCGCTTTCTGCGTGGCAACTCCAACCCTACGGCCCAACCCTACCATTGCTTGATCGCTACCTAAGTGCTTAACCGACCTTCGATACGATCCAAGAGCCTTTGACGTATATCACTGGTGCAGATAGTGCATGTCATACTGCAACTGTAGAAGCAAAGATAGAAATATGAATGATACCTTTCTATTTCTGTTTCTCTAGTGATTGGGGTGCAGAAAGGAAGACTATCACTTTCCTTACTACGCATTTTGAAAGTATGTCTAAAGATCTCATTATATTCATAAGATTACCCTCTTTTAAAGGGAAAAGTTAGGTAGGTACCTAGTATATATGTTGGTACATAGCTAGGTAGACAAAGCCCTCACTTTGGTGTCGCCTGGATTAAGGGGGGGCATTATGGCCCTAGATCTTGTGTGGCCATTCCCTTTGACGACCAACCAACCACAGATACGATGAAGGTTTAATAAGAGGGCACTGTGGTTGCTTTTCTATGAAGGCCATTTAATTGGGTCGCATATATGTTCAATTATGCATCTTCTTATGTCCTTTTCCTTACTACTAATTAATCTCTCACTGATCAGCTACTTCACCTGTATTTATATTCTCATATATGGATGGTTGGCACTAGATTCACATAAAAGATGATTAATTATTATTATAGGTGTCGTGAATTGACAGTCTCATATTGGTTATGTACCTACCTATCTAGGTACGCTTAGAATGCCTTTAAGCGTAGAGGGATGATGCTCGTAATAGGGGTGAGCGCAAATGCTCTTGGATGTGACAAACCTATCTCGAAAAAGTTATTGTCAAATTTACCTAAGTAAGACTTGATATAAGAACACAATGATTCATATTGTTAAAATATAATGATAGACCGATTACTAGGTAGGCTCTACTTTTAGGTATTCTTATGTGTCACGTAGCCATCCATCAATCAAACCTACTTAGTATACACACCAAAATATCACAGCAACAAGCAGCCTCAGTCTCCCAAACTGGATTCCAAGTAGATATAAAATGATATATATATCTCCCCCAATCCAAACAACCCCCTACCTATGTAAACACACCAACATCCATACCTACGTACCTATATCCCGAGACAAACCCACCCACGACGCAAATACCCACACTCCCAAACCCCGTATATGAGCCAACCGCCCAGCCAGAATATATGTATATGCAATGCAATGTAATATAGCTAACAATTGCCGCAGTAAAAACTCGTCCGCCAAAGATATATCATCGTGCTAATCCCGTATATCAATCCCAAATATATAGCTATGCTTCTAAAAGCAGGTGAAAATGCCGCGGCGAAAGTAACGTCGGTGGACTCGGATTAAGAGTCCCCCTCGCTTGAAATGCGAAATGTAGAATAACTGTACTAGTCGTGAAGATTCTAGTAAATGGGATATAAATAGCCAAATATTCGTCCTTCCTAATCAAATGTTTTACCGTGGAGGATCCTGGCGTCCGGTTCGCATGAATTTCCCAAGGAGACTACGGCCTCCAGACCGCCCCTTTTTCTCGGGGGCGGCATCGTCAGATGCTAATTTATAAGGAGGGGCCGAACTTAGCCTCGACGGTGTCGAGTCGTGACTCAAGTGTTCGTCTTCGGACTCGAGGAGATCGTAATCCGACATGGAGAGCTTATCCACCGGGCGTCTGTAGTCCCCCGGAGCAGCACCGGATCTACCCGTTCCCGTACTCCTTCCGGCTTCTTGCATCTTAGCGATGCCGCGCTCTAGATGGTGAACCATGGGCCCTTTGATGGACCAATTACTATCGCGCCTCCGATTTACAGCCTCCTTGTGTAGGTCTGGATGCGTGTGCTCGAACTCAATCTCAATTTCCCTTTGGTGTTTCACTGTAGCGTCGACGCGCTCGGCTTTCACCGTTGAGACGAGGTCAGTTGAGTGTACCCTGTCTTCCCCTTCGAGAAGTTTTAGCCAGTCATCGTATCTTTGGTGATCCTCCTGCTATAGTTCAGTCAGTATGACACCATTGTCCTAACGACCCTCATGAAAACTCACCAACTTCTCCTCAGGCATATCCTCAATGCTAGCAAGGTACTCCTTCGCATTGTTCGTCGTGTTCACGCCTACAATGTACTTGTCGAACGAATGTGAGAATTCCCGGTAGTGACCCTTGAGCACAAAACATTGTCCAGCCCATCCCTTACTCTTGAATTTCTGGTATAGCGCATCGGCTACAGGAGCTTCCCAAGTGTACTCAGCTACCTTGTCGTAAAATACGACGCAATTGCTACCGTACCACTTATTAAAAGCGTTGCGGCTGGTCTCATCCGGCAATGCCCTCTCAATCATTTCCATGCTTGCTCGTGCCACAAAGGACTCGGGGGCTCTGAAATTGATGGCGCCATGGATGTGAGATTGTTCATACTCAGAGAGTGAGCGGAGGTCAATCACCACGATCTGACCACGGCCTGCCGGGAAGATTTCAAGCAACTTGTTAAGATGTCCGGGAAGGATCATCTGAGCACCATCTGTTGGGGGGTCATGACTGTGATCATCTATCTTTAAACTTTGTAGTCTATTCTCCACTTCTTGTTGTTCTCGACGATGTTGGAACCAGGCCTGTATTGTATCAGTGTGAATTCTAGAAAACTTTCTTTCTTGTTGCATGACTTACATTCAAATCTGCCGTCTCTATTTTGTGTGTTGATGCCAGGAATTCCCTGACGGCAGCCGTGGGTACTGGGTTGTTGTTGAAGTATTCCTCCAACCGTGCTTCAACACGTGGTGGAAGTTCGGGTCGACTTGATATGGAAGCCAATGATGTTCTCCTTGCACTCCTAGGTTGATTGATAGCTAGTTGTTGCGCTATATTACCATATGAGATGCTCTTATGAAGGAAACCGCCAGGCGCGGGGCGTTGTCTTGTCGATGGACCACGAGAAGAGGTTGACCATCCCCTGTTTGGCTTGGACTGGTCCACAGGCATCGTGCTCGATGAGTGTCGATAACCACGGCTAGGGCCATCAAACGAGGGGCGTTCAAAACTTCTGAATGCCGGTTCTATTGGCGTCTTGCCGTTTGAAAGAGTGGACATCATAGATAATCTAGCACCTCTCATAGACTCCAAGGGCCCAGCGGTATATGCTGTAGTTCCCGAATAAATTGACCTCAAATCCGCGTCCACGTCGGCGCCCGCTAAGACCTCTTCCTCGATTATCCTTGGCTCGTTTTGGTTCCGGATGGCCAAGTTGTTCGATCGAATAAACGCGATAAAGTTGCACGCGTGGTTTTCCGGAAGTAGATCCCAAACCATTACCGGCATAGATAAGAGCAGTAGCGTTGAATGGCTCTTGAATACTCCTTGGACCTTAACATACTTAGCAAGCGCTGGGATATTCGAAAGCCAGTGCTCCCAGTCATTGATGTTGAGGCGCTGGTCCTCTTCAAGTGCCAGCGATATCATCACATGTGGTACGTCCTCGTTTGGTTCGGATCCGATAATATCCTGCGGTCCGGCTGACCGACCGTTCATGGGATTGCCATCGAATCCCGCTTCCTGGGGGGGCGAGGGTGGTCTTGCATCCGATGACAGAATCCGAGCAATTTCGATACTTGGTGCCTTGTGGTTAGCGGTCATCATGAAATGTACTGGCGTGGCACGTGCTTCGAAATGTTTGCCGTTCAACATCTCGGGCCTCGGGTGCTTAAGGCGTGCGAGGACCTCTGCATGCAACATTGCTGCGGAAAAGGTCCTCCGTCTCCATTCTTGAAGTACTTCGATTAATGTGTTAGTAAATGAATACCTTCCCGGATCTGGAGCGATGGCATCCCAGCTGGATGCTGATATTGTTTCCGTTATGCTCTTGCCATTAGGAAAAGTAGCACTTGCGGCGCCGGCGCAGCAATCTAGGAGGATCAAGACATCCGAAAGAGATCTTTCTAACAATGTTTGAATCGCAGACCATCTAGAGGAACGTTAACGCCGTTGCATATATGCGACTTGGGTAGGTGGGGCATGACGTAGACTTACTGAAGCCATGGCGAATCTGAACTTCTGGTTCTGGGGATTCCATCAGTATATCAAGCGAGAATACAGATACGGCAGCTAAATAACCTACCCGCACCATGTGCTCTGTCTCGACTCGTCGATTCTTGCGTGGCCACCATAGTAAACTATAAATAGGGTATCGTTCGACTCATGTTCCTTAATCATGGCCCCAATTTTTAACATTAATTCTAGATGCGCATTGTCGGACGGAATCGGAAACGTTTCAGTCTGGAAGCTGTATTCTTCTCGAAAGCATGCTTCTAGGTCATCGAGCTCCTTGAGGACGAATAGATCGTCGCATGTCCAATGAAGAAGGAGGACATGTACTTTCTTGTATCTCTGCGAGCCTCCCCGGTTGGGGAAAGCCCGGGTGGCCGACTATGAGAGTAGGCTCGTTAGCTCTGTAATGGCGGGCGGGTGGTTGATATTATTAAGGAGAGGGCAGACACGCACATCCTCTAGAGTTTTCGCAAATTCGGGCAGATGCTTGACGTGGTAGCTCACACGGCTGATGTCGTGTGTGGCCGACGGCGTCCTCTCATCTTCAATGCTGGAACCATACTGAGAAGAAGATGTGATTAGATGAGAGCGAGCTTGAGGCCTGGCTATCTTCTTTTCTCGACGTACGGCAGAATCTCCACTGCTGAAACTATGCCCATCCGTGGGCTGCCATTCACTTATCGTCACAAACGGCTGGTCACCCATGATCACATACGCTTGTGCAGATCAACCAGCTGCGACGGGAGGTAGGAGGGACGGACGGACGGAATGGGAGGAAGCGCAAGGCAAGCAGATACTAGAAAGAATAAAAAAACGTCGTAGGCTTCGGTTTCGGCTTCGTCTTTACATGGTATTGCCGCACCGCATGGCGGGTGAGATTGTACGTAACGGAGCGGGCTGGAATATGGGACTTGGATAGAAAAGCAGACAGAACAAGACAGAATCAATCACTTGAGCAAGAGTTGTAAGGGTTGTAGACGGGACATTCGGCTAAAGCCGCAACGCTTGAGGGTGATATTCCACTCTCACTTGAGATTTAACGCACCAAGACTTTCTGCCGACAAGAGCTGGAGTGGGAAAGGGACGCCTTGCGACGTGCGACAAGCGACAAGCGTCGGCTGAACATGACATGAAGGATGGAGGATGTCCCAAAATGTCAAGATATGCCACGCTCGGTAGCAGAAAGCGGTTTAGCGGCCCTGGTCGCGGTGAACTGATTTGGTGTAGACGCAGAGTCCAAATTTCCTGCATTACTAAGTCTTATTGGTTGACGGCAGTGCTTGCGCCCCTTTCTGCTTGTACCGTTCCTGTATTGATACCTCATCAAGTAGGCTGCGTGTAACACCAAGTCCGATTTCTGCAATATCTGCAATATCTGTGCGCATTCTAGAAAGAAAATGGTATGCCGTTTGCTTTAACAGGTAGGTGTGAAGATATCTAAAACTGCCCTACCACTCCAAATACAAATTAAAACACTGAAAGGTACGTGCCGGGTGGGTAAAATTAAAAATATCAATCATGTATCTAACTAAGTGGATACGAATATAACGCCAAGACTCTAGCAAACCTACCGAATCTGCAAGTAATACTAGAGTTGTCCTTGACGTTTAATTATTTTAATAGTGAAACTAAGTTTATGCTGCTTACCTAAGTTAACATACCCCCAGGGCCACTACGACTACCAGCTATTGGATCGTGGATTCGACCTCTGCTATATTATCAACTGATATATAGTCCCGTCTTAGCCCGGAAGGGCTTCGTCATCTTCAAGGACATCGGCGTCGCCATTAGTATAAGCAATTAGGTCATAGTCAACCATCGTTATTATCGCTGTACTAGTTAACTATCGGTCCTTTCAAGAGCATCGCCTCTCCCGCATATCGAGTACCTGCGTCAGCACTATCCTGCGGCAGGATTCAAATTCCACTCCCCTCGATATCTCTGTTTGGATCAAGGCTTTCTAGCCTCGGGAATACTGATGGATATGTGGACGCAAACTGTTAGCCGTCCCCACACTATCCAGCTTATTTCGGACAGAGCCACGAGGCGATCCCCAGAGCCAATAATCCCTACAGCCTGACTTGTCCAAATGTCCGGATGTAAAATAAGGCAGCGAACCTGATATAAATACAAGCCGCCCCCAGCATATCTTGTCTCCTGCACCTTGCATCCCACCATTCGCCATATGATAATAGTAAGGGAAACCATTACAAATCCCGAGCAGATGTATCCCCGAGTATGCCACGGTAGATTTGTCGTACCGTATATGAAACCAAGTGAACACAATGCCACGTTCAACGCCAACCTAGATGCAGATCCGCCTCCCTCGAGCACCGGATGCCAAGTATACGGCAAGAAAATGCAGTTAGACATTAAAGAATTAGAGTAATAATGGAACTGTTGCAGTGGGCAGGTTGGTTTTTATTCGCAGAGCCCCGACGCATATTCAAACATGATTCTGTTTTCGGAGGTGGGTATGAGTGAAAGCTTAATCGCGGCTGTTTGTTTCGGCGTTTCGGCGAGCCTCATCTAAGTCCTCTTTCATCAAACGTTCGCTGAGACTTCTGGGTGTGCCGTCAAAGTAGGTCATGTCAGGCCTATAACTAGTCGATTCGTCAACCCCACTTCGCCCGTCAACACTGCCAACGAAGGTATAGAAGTCGCCCATCTCTGCGGCTCTCTTATGTAGTTCCGGATCACGGACAACACCGATTGAAAACGACTTCCCGCGGTATGACCCGACGGATGCGGCCATTTGGTGAGGGGACGGTAAAGGAGGAGTTGCGGAAGCAGGTTTAGCGACGGGAATCGCAGGCGATGTAGAAAACAAGACCGGCTTTTCAGCTATGGGCGTCGCATCAGCTTCGTCCTCGTCCACGTCCTCGTCTTCCTCATCAATATACTTCTTGACCGGTTTAGATTTATCTTCTCTATCGTCCAAGTCGAAATCCCGATCGTCAAAGTCAAACAAATCTTCTTCGTTGAGTGATGGTTCGCTTGTGGAATCAATCGGAGATTTTGATAAGTCGTTTTCTGTTCGATTCGAGTTAGGAATATTTGCGGCTGATTTGGGAGTCGTTTCAAGCGGCGGAGAAAATCGTTTCTTGTCTTTGAATGAACTTAGTGGCGGCATCATGAGGACGTCGTCTATTTCGTCACCCTCTGCAGGAACTTCGTTTTCTTCGACTTCTTTCACAACCGTCAAAGGCGCACCAAGTTGACTCGGGAGGCGCGCATCATTTATATGATGTGCCGTGTTGTCCGAGCTTACGTGATTGGCTGAATTTTGATATGTGTCATTTGCTTTTCGGCTATGTAAACCGGCCATGACTAACTCTTCCTCTTCGTCATCATTGAGAGCTTCCAGGTTGCCAACAACTTCCCACTTCGAAGTGTCCTCGTTTGAGTTCCGTGCCATAGCTTTTAAACGATCAGTGGAAGTTATCTTTTTAGGCATCGGCGGAGAGCTGCCTAGTAGGTCGGTATCTTCATTAATGATGATCGCGTTGTATGACTCATCTAGTAGACCAGCGGGGTTGCCTAACGGGGACGGCGGGAAATCTGGTGCTCGAGGTGAAATCGGGGGTGACGAGGTGGGAAGTACTTCTTCACCTTCTACGTCAAAGCGCACTCGTCTAGGACTTTGAGCTTTGACAGACGAAGTAGATGAGCGACGGAGGGCGCTTCTTCGTAATCTCGTTGTACTGTCATCGGAAGTAATCGACTCCTCTGTATCTGTAGTATGCCGTCGGACGGGATCCGGTCGGGGTAGAACGATCGGACTCGCTAGAGTAGCAGCTGAGGTGTCTTCATGACTGTTAGGTTCTTTGATTTCAGGTACCTGGGGCGGCAATGTAGGTGGTGTCGGGCTACGTCGCTGTACTGCATCAAGCAAGGGAAGATAACTCGGTGTGAACAGACCATGGAATTCGCGTTCTCGTTCATGTGGGCTCCGGGGACTATCGAACAGGGGAAGGAAAGGAATTTGAGGCGAAACTGGCGGCGATGGTTGCCTGACCGGCCATGACTTCTCGTCAGTGCTGACGTCGCTGGCACTTTCTTGCGATTGCGGGTCGATGTCATAATCAAGACCGGGACTCAATGCCGGATAATTCTGAAAGTGCTCGGCAACTAATTTTTGGACTTTCGCAGAAACATGCCCTGGAACATCTTGTAGACGCTGACGCGAATATCGATGGAACTCCTGGGCCATGTCTTGGCGATATATGTTGACCTTATTGTCAAGCTCAGCGAGCTTTTGAATAAGGTCGGATACTAAACTTGTAGTGTCATCCATGGCTGTGCCGAGCGCGCCGCACACCACAAAATGATATCAATCGAAAACGGCCAATGGATGAAGAATAAGCATTGTTGGTGTTGGGTTGCTGACCAACATACAACAAGATAAGACAAGACAGAGTATTCCTAAATTTTAATAAGATTTCAACAAATTTCGAGAGCGAGCAACTACTTGTGAGTGCCTGCAAAATTATGAAATCTGTTTCGTTCTTTTTGCCTTTGCCTTTGTCTTTGTATAGTGGAGCTGCCTTCTTATCAGCTTTTCTTTAAGACTGCAGCTGCAGCATCTGAAGTATCCGAATAGTCACAAGGTTTGACCGTCTATGCTAAGTGACTTTCTGTTGTATTGTTCCATGCATGTATTGTATGTATTGTACAATTGACTCCAGTAGCTCCGCAATTAGTCCAAAGGCTGTTCGTTCTTAAATATAAAACTTGGAAGTTTAATGAGCCTTAAGTCCTTGCCTTGCGTGAGAGGAGCGTAGAGGAGGCTGGAATTCCGGGGAGCCGCACTCGTCAATTGACAGAGTCAAGATCGAGGAAGGAATGATAGGTACAATAATAAAATGATTTGCTGGGAAGAAGGTAAGGAAGTGTGAAAAATGGTGTGGAGAAAATGGTAGGTGTGGGAGCCAAGACCCATGGAGGAATGGTGGGATTGGTCTCCGACGACCTGGAAAGACCTGGTTCAATTGTTAAAAACGCATCCATCTGAATTCGGGTCTGGAAGATTCGGCGCATGCTTCAAGGTTGTGGGAAATACAAAGGTACAAGTCAGCAGAAGTCAAAGCAACGATAACGATAACGATAACCTTACATCATAAAGTTTGCCAGGGTTTACGAAATAGATACCTCACAAACGTACCTCCCAGGTGTAATATAAAAAGAAATATCTGTAATTGGAAAGACTGGATACTCTGGTAGACACATCAATCGCTTCTTGGCTTCTAAAATCACAGGTTAAGAAGCCATGTTTAAGTTGTGCATCGCCGCAAGCCCTGCCAACGTGCCTCATCAATGTACCCCATTAGGTACACGTGCATGCCGTCGATTATCAAAACCCCGGTCAACACCACATGCAATGCAGCTCCGACTGCCGGATTAGGTACGAAATACATACAGACACCAATGGCAATGACTTCAACATCCTATTAAGCATTTTCTTGATCTTAAGATCGACTTTATTGATTAGATACCTGCAGTCTTGGACAGCTATGAAAGATACCTATTTACGAAACAGTTTCTATATTAGTACATTATGAACGCATACATTTTGAATAGAAATGACACGTGAACTATATACCTCCTTAGTATGCATATGCAGTAATAAACATTATTACTATGTTTTTTCCAATTGCCAAGTCAAGTCGCTTAACCTCTACCGAATAATGTGAGTCGGCTCGGAGAAAGTCTACTATATGATATATAACTAGTAGTTGTCAACACTACAATCTGACTATAACGTCCCATCATGTGCCTGTCAGCCACTGGGCAGCTTTGCCGAGATCGGCAGGATATGTCCAATGGGAAATAATAGAAAAATCAATTATCAAAAGAAATATGGATCGCAATATTATACTCCTGCGAGATAACTGTATAGGTAGGTAGGTTTAGGGCAAACATGACCTACTTACATGCCAACTGTAACATGTCTCTCTAATGCACATCTGCCAGCGCCGCTCTTGAGCATCGAGTCCACTCGTAGCGATTTCTCTTTAATGCTAACATTAGCGCTACCTAAACCAATTCTTAACTCACGAGTTGGATCATCCTGTTGAGCTGTTAAACCAATCTCATATAATTGTTCTGAGTGTGTTGTTTTCATCGGCAATGCTATTTTCACTCTAAAGCCCACGCTATTATTTATAACTGGTCATTCACTTAACTATTAGCCCGATGACCTTCGAAGAATGCCTACAGATGGATGTAACTAGGCAAATGCAAAGTCAGGAAGTGAACCATATGATTTATCCAGGACAACGGTGAAGGGCTAAGTTGCCGATTCGGAAATCCCGCCCTCACCGGTTCGGCTGGCACGTTGTACGTGTAATTTAACAACTCGGTAATCCTTGAGAGCCTTGGGGGCTAAATCATTATTAAGTCCGCTCAGTGGTGACGAATGTGGCTTGAACATCCTCTCGTTTATCGGAGTAATTGGAGTGCCATCGAATGCGGGCAGGTTAGCAGTCCTCGCTAAACCGTACTGCAAAATCCCAAGCTCATTGCTGCGGCGCATCGAGCACCATTGCAGGACTCTAGATGCATGTTGGTCCATTTAGTCTCGGAAGAGTCCTTAATACTCCGATGATCATGAGCCCCCCCGTATAATATTTCAGTGGTATCATGATAATTATTATTATCGCGTTAAACATACCACTCTCGGCAATCTCTATGAAAGTAGCGTTAGCCCTTACTGATATTTGGTAAATCTGTAGACTAAGGTGACTACAAATGCTGTTGTTTCATCGTATAAAGAACACATAATTGGCGTCTTGGAGAAGGTATTTCGCAGAAAACGGCTGTAAAGCTTCATAACCCAATGTAAAAAGAGCTTCGGGAGACACGGCTAATAGATGTTGTGATTGGATCATTCCGAGCTGGCAAGTAGACAGGCAGCATTGATTATGCTCGTAGATTGATTCATATTCGTATACAACGTAAGTAGTCAATTATTAGTTAAATTTTAAGATGATGTCTTGTAGCATGAACGGAGGCTACCACTGGCGAGCGAGTCCCATTGATGAGATAATGACGCCCAGTTCCTCTCTGTTGCATGATATGCGAAAATATCTTGTAAGGTTGAATTGATCACAAGATTTGTTGAAAATTATATATTTCCAACACGCAGGATATTATCTGCTACTTTAGAAGGCAAACACCTGGTCTTCTAGCTTGCTGACAGGGCGAGCCTTCTTGAAACCGAGACTCTCTGTCGATTTCTTCAGCCCTCCAATCATGGGTGGCGGGCCGCAGAGCAGTATCTTGACGTCCTCGGCAGGCTTCGGTAGCCATTTCTGAGTGTTTGTTAGTTTTGGGTTGTATGTATAGTTAAAATGAATTGAAACTTACAGTAACCATATCGGGAGTCACATATCCTACACCACCAGTCCATCCCTCAGGAGGCTTGTCGAGAACATAGTGGACTCGGAATCCGGAATCTTCCTTTGCTAGCGCGTCGAGATCCTCTCTGAGCAAGATATCTTGTTCCGTGACGTTGGCAAAGATGAGGTCAACCTCGGTTTTGTCGCCTGCAGCTCGTCCTCGGATAATTGCACGGACAACTTGGAGCATAGGAGTGATACCGGTGCCACCGGCAACCATGCCGAAATGGCGGACCATGTTGGGAGTATAGACAAATGCACCTTTCGGTCCCTTGACACGAATTGTCTGGCCTACACCAAGAGAGGCCATGTGTCTGGAGATATTGCCAGTTGGGTAGGATTTGATGAGCAGATCGAAGTAACCAGGTTGGTGGTCGCCGGAAATGGGAGTATACGATCGCACAATCTCTTTAGTAGAACCGTCAGGCTGTACGATAGCAGCACCAATCGAGATGTGCTGGCCGATTGGAAGGCCGAGGATAGATGTCGGAGCAGGTAAAGAGAATCGGTAGCTATAAACTATTAATAACACAAAAGATAGTTATGCTGGAAGAGACAACTAACATGGCTACATTGTGAGAGATAATTGTTTTCTCTTTCAGTTCGAATTCTTGGAAGACATCTGGTTTCAACACCTTCTTGGGTACTATGAACGGTTAGACCGACTTTATACCAAATTGAACGGCATGAAATATACATACACGAACGGAAGTATTTAAGAGCACCTAGGGCAATTGCAATGAGTGCGGCAAAAGGCGTCCATTCCTGCTTGACAATGTATGTTCCAATCACTAGCAAACCGGCCGGAATATATATCCCATCGATATATGCTTTCGATGACCAGGAAGCTGGAGTTGCCATCGTGCGTGAAACAAGAGCTGCCGACTTCCAATTTAGGTCGTTAATCCTAGCAGAGCTATGCTAAGATTAATTAGCTGAAGGATGATCTTTTAATTGTCAGCGACTAAGCGATCGCATGCTCTTAGAGACGCAGGGAAGAAGAGGATGTAGGACCGGCAGAGCTGACGGTCAGCTTCGTATATTATGGTCCGTTGTGGGAGAGGAAAAAAAACACCAAAGCTAAAATTCCCCAGCTTGTTTCTATCTCCTAGGTCGGGGGAACTATATAAATGTGGGGTACAATAGTGGTCCCATCCAATGAATGCGGCATTGCGTTGGTTGGACATTCAGTTTGGCGGGCGGAAGCGACTCGGGAACCGCGGGTTGAGCTCGGGTTATCCACTCGGTAGGTACACCTACCTTTTAGACCAATTAAAGTGAGCGGAGAATATTCCCATATGTGGCTGAAGTACTTAGGTACCTGAAAATTCAACCATTGATGAGGTCAACTTGCCAGATATGTCGGATTATGTGGCAGAATTTGTGGCAGTCGGTACCCATTCTGATTCGAAATAACATCAATAGGTACCTAGATGGGTAAGGGGAGATTGTCTAAGACTTCTAACAGATTTAGTTTTCTTTTTCTCATTTTCTTATCCAATCATTTATTTTCATACATTTCGAATTCTTTTCGAGCCCTGTAGTCTCTTAGAACTCACTTATCTTAGTCTGTCGTCAATCTCCAGTTCCCAACATGAGCGACACTACTATCAAGGTTACCCCTGATGACGCACCGTTCCCACTGACGGACGTAGACAGATGGGTTCTGTCGTTGACCGACGAAGAATACCATTATCATGACTGGGAAGAAATGAAACAGATCATAGGTAGGGTATTATTTTTCATTGCTCATCTATGTACTTCTCATGATGAGTAGCTTAGACTAGTCATCAGGCGAGAATAATCTTTCAGTTCTGAAGCGAAAACCTTCCGATTTGCGACGTTATATGAAGTGGACTGCCGAGACGAAGGTAGAATATGGATCCATGACGAACTACCTCATAAAAAACCGGCTACCACAAACTTGGGGCTCACCCCCTTTCACGCCAACATCAACTATCCCTTTTGATGATCCATCTGATTATAGAGTCCTAATCAACGATTGGCCTTATGGTTTAACATCAAACATGACCCACATAGTCGTATGGTCAAGAACAGTAATTGAGACAGATCCCGAGACCGGAGATATGACACCAGAAAGTCGTCGCACCGTCATGAATTTCGTGAGGGAGTTCTTTATTGATAAGCTAGGCCTGGATGGAGATGACAGAGTCCTGTGGTTTAAAAATTGGGTTGCATTGCAAAGCGTGAGAGCATTGGAGCGTATGTATTCCTCTTTTCTGTTTATGATATCCTCGGTGGCTTTGGAAGGGGCCTAAAACCTAGAACTGGCCCTTGCAATTTTCTATAGGGTTATCACTAATAGACACTTCAGATATTCATGTCATCGTCAAAAATGTCGAGAAGCCTCTCCTAGACGAGTGGACCAGGGAGCTCGATTGTCACAGATTGCCGAACTAGGTTATAGTGACATAGGTATAGGTAGACACAACGTGACCATAGACTGAAACGTTGTAGGAGTTTCCTCGTGGTGAAATGTGGGTTGGTATTGTTGCGATATAATGCCATATTAAGCTGCTCGTCGTTGCTTCCTGTTTCCTGCTACTGGCGCAGCATTATCCGGCTGTTGTCCCTGCATACCTGCCATCCCACGAGCTGCTCCAAGGAGACTGTATCCTTTAAAAATTCCATACGCAGGCACAACGGACCAGAGAAGCCACCCCCAGTTTCCGAATAGTATGACAAGTACCACGGACGCCCAAGTCATCCAAATAACATCAAACATGTATTCTGTAAGTCCAGGGGCAGATAAGTCTTCACCGGCATTTTGCATCGCATTTGTAGACGGATTATATTTAGGCCGACCTGATGACTCCAAGATGTATTCGCAGATGAAGCTTGGGATCGATAGAATGACGTAAAGTAGTATAGATCGTTTCTTGATCAGAAAGGTGAACAAGAAAAATAGCGTATTAACGATGAGAGTGCCGGTGTGAAGATTTGTAAGAGCAGCTGCGTTAGCTTTCGCTCTGTCCTTGCGTGCCTTCTGTGCCATGTTGAGATAGACCTGTGTTTCTTATAGTAAGTTATATCATAATTCAGTTCGATATGGCGAAATGATGGATTATTGAGAGTAATATGGCGATATAGTATGAATTGTGAGGTAATGAGGTAAGTTCATTGAGATGAAGCAGGTGGTCTGTTTAAAAACTACTATGTATACTGTGGCCTGTGTGGCTTATGGATAAGGCTGGGAATGACAGATGGATAAATAGCGAGTTGAAAGTGGCGGGTGCGGCTAAAAAAAAAAAAAAAAGAAAAGAAAAAAAGAGAGAAGTGGCACTGTACCTACGTACCTGCCCAGGCTGCCAGGAACTGTTTACAAATTGTTAGCGCCGTGCTGTTGCTCGGGCAGGAGCGCCTTCTGCCTCCTGGTCGCCGTTTAGCCAATCAAGCCCTTGACCAGTCCTATCCACCATAACATCCCCCAAATCGCGAGGAAGCTCGGACTGCGACAAGGCAAAAACTGCTAACTGCTAAACTCGACCTTGACCGTTCTTCAATCCCCACTGCGATATCTGGATTTTCCTTCTATTCTAAATACCGTCGAATGGTATTATCGGGGCACGAGACTATTTGGGCTGGGAGCTTGGAAGCCTATAGGGCAATATTATCGTTTTGTTACCTCCAAACATCAATTCTCTCCGATGCCGATGGCTTATTGATAGGATATTCGACATTCGATATTCTACATCACATCTCGACTACGCTCCCGGTCCAAGTCATATCGGTCACAACAACCAGAGATGCTTTTGCGAAGCATTCAAAATCCAGTCGATAAATCTTTCCGCTTCGTTAAATTCAACGGTCGTTTTACTTTCGCGGATACGACTTCTTAAGCCTGGTATTTCAAACTATATTTATTATAATACTAATCATCGTCGAGCCTACCTAACTAGCCGCCGTGCCGTGGCGGCTTGTCTTGCAAGCACACCAAGCCTCAAATCCCGACCTACGACTCCTTTATCTACTCCCGACTTCTATTCCTTTGCCATACGTAAACCTGCGCTGTCCCAAAGAGTCAATCACATGGCCCTTCGCGAATAGCGCCTCGAACCATTCACGAAGGTCCTTACCGCTGAACACAACGCTTTATACCTATCTAGGTACCTATACCTATATCACATAATCCAACATGGCGCCTACCGGCTCAGCCATCACGGGCCAGCTAAGGCAGTTGGTTTATTATCACCTCGACAACATATCCTACGACAATGCTCTTTTCTTTGCTGAGAGATTATCCTCCCACGACCATCGCTCGAGCGAGCCCCAGTATCTCCTCGCTCTCTGCTATTTCCGACTCGGTGACTTTCATACGGCTTATGATGTTAGCAAACCCGTCGGAACTCGAGGAACCAACGTTTCCTGCTCATACATATTTGCTCAATGCTGTCTCGAGCTTGGTCAATACAAAGATGGCATTGTAGCGTTAGAAAAATCTAGAGGTTTATGGTCGCGGAAATCTAGTTTGGGCAAGCATGGTGCAACGAGTCGAGCACTGCACCCCGATAGTGCAAGTACCGCTTGTTTGCTTGGGAAACTTTACAAGGCGTACGATGATAAGACAAAAGCGAGTCTCAATTTTGAAGAGGCGTTGAAGATAAACCCATTCATGTGGGACGCATTCACAGCCTTGTGTGATATGGGTGTCCCTGTCAGGTCACCTAACGTTTTTAGATTGAATGAAACGTTGGTAGAGAGCTTAAGCATGGACCCGATGAACGGGATTTCATCAGAGCAGAAGGATAGTAGTGTAGCTATGCCAGCTGAACCTCAGCCTAAGAAGGCGTCGTTTCGATCTACGATTTTCGACTCGACAGGGGACCCTTTTGATTCTCAAAGATCAACAGCTGGGAACGAAATGGCACTCGGCTCCAACTTCCTAGCAAGCGAGAACGATTTCATGTCTAAAATTAACGCAGCTCGTTCTAGGGTTATGACTACTACTGCAGATTCGGGGTTGGATCATATGGAAACACCGATATCTAACCACCACGATTCGAACATACCCCGGATTAATCATCAACCAGAACCTCCTCAAGCTCCTACTCGGAGGACGAAAAATGCGCAACCACTCGATTCTAACCTAGCAGACATGCCACCAAAAATGGGGTTTCGGGCGGGTACCAAGAGGGTCCAGAAATTGCAGGATAAAGCTCAAGAAGATATTATAACAGAGTCTAACCCCACTCTTAGAGCTACTGGTACAGGTGTATCCGGAATAGAGAGGAAGAGGACTGTTTCTGGCCACCTTGTTCAACCTAGACAACAACATTCGGAAGAACCTGGAGCTCCACAGAGACGGAGCGCAAGATTAAACTTATTTAGAGGCGGTAACAGTAAGGTCAATTCCGGAGCACCGACTGCCGGCGCCTCACGGGAGTTGAAAAAGGCGAGACCGCCAGGATCAAGAATCATACGTCCGAACTCCAGTGGTTCCAACGTCGGTAGAGCCGTGAGCGGAAATAGAAAACCACTGGAGGAGAATACTATGGACGTAGACCATGCTGAAGCACCACGGATTAAGGAAGTCCACCCCCAGCCCGCCATTATTAAATCAGCAGAACCAGAGTCCGTGAAGGTCGAGGAGACGCTGAAATATCTTTTGGAGCTATTGAAGAAATTCGGCTCCGGGTATCTGGCACTATCTCAATATCGGTGCGCCGAGGCTCTGGCCTCATATAATTTGCTACCACGGGCACATCGGGAATCGCCGTGGGTGTTGTCGCAAATGGGGCGAGCTTACTATGAGCAGGCCGAATATGGAGAGGCGGAGAAGTATTTTAGGATGTTACGTGTCCGTTGCCCAACTAGACTCGAGGATATGGAGGTATACTCGACGATCTTGTGGTTTCTCAAAAGAGAGACTGACCTTTCTTTCCTTGCTCATGATCTCGTTGACCTGTCATGGCATTCTCCCCAAGCCTGGTGTGCACTCGGGAATGCCTGGTCACTCGCTCGAGACCACGAGCAAGCATTACGATGCTTTAAACGAGCAACCCAGCTAAACCCCAAGTTTGCGTATGCATTTACCTTACAGGGCCATGAACATGTTTCGAATGAGGAGTACGAGAAAGCACTTACAGCATACCGCCAGGCAATATCAGCCGACCGACGGCATTACAACGCGTATTACGGTATAGGACGCGTCTACGAAAAACTCGGTAATTACGACAAGGCTTACGTCCACTTCCACTCAGCATCCGTTATAAACCCTACCAACGCTGTCTTGATCTGCTGCATTGGCAATGTCCTTGAGAAACAGCGGCAGATTGTGAAAGCCCTTCAATTTTTTACCAAAGCCACCGAACTTGCACCCCATGCTGCCCAAACACGATATAAAAAGGCCAGAGCTCTGTTGGCTCTTAATCAACTCGACGAGGCTCAGAAGGAACTCGAAATCCTGAAGACTATGGCTCCCGACGAGGCTACGGTACATTTCCTGCTTGGGAAGCTGTACAAATCACTCAACGATAAAGGTTCTGCTGTACGGCATTTTACAATCGCACTAAATTTAGACCCGAAGGTTTGTTGGATCCTTCAACTCCAGGAACGTAAATTTACTGACCAAATCAACTAGGCAAGCCATCAAATTAAAGAAGCCATAGAGAGCCTCGAAGATGACGATAGCTTTGACGATTCCATGATGGCATGATATTATACCTATGAAACGACATAAACCCTTGCTTACGTTTGCTGAGCGGCGGGCTTCTTTGCTTTTATTGCCACGGTTACTGCGGCATTAGGGAGGTTTGGCTGGATATTCCCAAGGCATGCTTTGAAATGTTAGGGGCAGGAGTCGAGATTAGGTACGGAACGACCTCGTACATGTCGGCCTTCTAGGTGTTGGCGGTCGGCGTTGCGAGGTCTGGCTAGGCATATGCATCGGCGTTAAGGAAAATTCAAGTGGCGCATTACGTCTGCCATTGCCGGGAAACAAGGAGCGTGTTGTGTATAAGTACTCGTCAGGATTTTGCATGGTGATTAAAAGTGTATAGTAATGCGTATTGATGAGCGCCTTCGCTGATCAGTCGAACGACCATTTAAGACTTCTCTATGATGCGGAAACGGGGTTACGAATAGTAATAAGGGGTTGCCATTGGTGTGCCCGCATAGATGGAACTGATATCTAACTTTCAGTCCACCATATTTATTCGTGATCTTCAATCAATTAGGTGAGTAACGGGTATTGAATTGAACAGGGTCAGAACATTTGAAATTTGAGGTTTTAGACTAGGTACATAGGTACATCTTTGTTATCAATTGAAGCATTCAATGTTCCATTTTGAGCACATGCACTTTAAAAAAGAAAAAGTGGACTGGATTAAAGGTAGAGCTGAGTCACGTGAAACCCCACCATTAAGTCGGCGCCGGGACCTGATTTCAAGGGCGCTAACGTTTCTTGCAGCGGAAAACGCTAGTGTCAGCGCACGGGCCATTAAACAATCCATCAAGATGATAGAAATTGGAAACTGTCAAGCTGATGCGAAAATAAGCAGTTTCTGAGGCCGATTTAAAAATTAAAAAATGCCTGTTACTTTCTGATTTTCTTCAAGTTCCTTGGCCCCGAAATAGACTAGTACCTTCCCAACCCGCAATCAGTAACATCCCCTCTACACCACTTAAAAACCCCCCGTCCCTCTCCCGTTCTCACAACTCTTCCTCTTTTCCTTATTTATCGATCTATCTATCTCTACACCGTTATCATCAACAAATACCACAAAATCAATCACTTCTCATCACTAAAACAACACCAAATTACTACTAAACATCAGCCAATATGACTGGACGTAAGTGCATCCCCTTTTTAATCTTATTTCACCTCGCTATCGCGTCGTCGAGTGATGATGCAACCGACCGCTTATGGTAGGCGGGTCCTGTCATGATGTCTCTACATAGACGCGTCTTGACCTTGACCTACTATAACGCGACGATGCATCTACAATCTACAATATCATGTATTCATCTTCGACTATTAAATCGTCAATCAATCTAAACGAGGTATAATTATACTAACATGTCATCATAGGCGGCAAGGGAGGCAAGGGTCTTGGAAAGGGTGGCGCCAAGCGTCACCGCAAGATCTTGCGTGACAACATCCAGGGTATTACCAAGCCCGCTATCCGACGTCTCGCTCGTCGTGGTGGTGTCAAGCGTATCTCAGCCAGTAAGTTGTCACTAATATCCATGTATCATTGAACAATTATTAACAAGGTATGCAGTGATCTACGAAGAGACCCGAGGTGTCCTCAAGTCCTTCCTCGAGGGTGTCATCCGTGATGCCGTCACCTACACCGAGCACGCCAAGCGCAAGACCGTCACCTCTCTCGACGTCGTCTACGCTCTGAAGCGACAGGGCCGCACCCTGTACGGTTTCGGTGGTTAAACGCGTATACTTCTCGTCTTGCAACACTTTGCTGTCCTCGCTATATCTATTCCGTTCGCCGCCTAGCGGTCAAAGTTAGCGGTGCGAAATATACGTCAGAAGCAAGTCGGAGCAGAGAGTCTAAAGAAGGTATACCGCGATGGACTGGGGAGGATTGTGACATTAAAGGGATTGGCATGATACACAACATTCTGACAACTGGCGTTGGTGGGCTTTCACGTTTATGGTTTTCATGGTCTATGCGATGACTTTTGAGATGGCGCCTGAAGATTAGGTCGCTGATGACTTGCTACGGCATTAACTGAATTTAATTGCATCGCTTTACGCTTTGCCATGAACACCTTTTGACTTGTCTCCGATCGTGATTTGACTTGAGTGATAAACTTGATCTACTAATTGTGTATTAATGCAATCGTAGCCATGATAAGAAAATTTGTAACATAATCCCGCAGTTGCTGCCTGCCTGTCTTAACTCCCAACGCCTTGATCTATTTGCCTGAAAATACCCATGCATCCGTATCTTAGATGCTATGTAGATACCTACTTCACAAGTATTTTCTCCCTGCCGCAGCAACCCTCTGCCTAAATACCGGGCTCTTCACCTCCATATTGGCTCTGTAGAAGGGACTCATGATAGTCTTAACCCAGTTCTCGTAGACCTCTAGCATGAAGTTCTTAATAGCCTCCTCGGTCTGCGGGCTTGTCGGGTTAGCGCCGATGGATGTAGAGGCACGTGTTGACGTCGTAGATACGGGCGTCGTCGGCTGGTGTAGTAGGAGAAACTTGACATTTCCGCCTGTTACGAAGCAGGATACGTAGTTATTGAAGAACTTGTCGACGCACTTGAGGTACCTTCACATTTGCAGGCCTAGTGTTATCATAATGCTCATCTGCGATGACCTGATTTTCTCTTTCTATAGAACGAGGACCCTACTTACTGCTGACCGCTCCCCCATTGAACCTCTTCGACGATATCTAGACTGCTGTGCGCGATGAATTGGTTCATGTGCCGCGCCTGGTCGCTGAAGCGTGGTTGTCCGTCGCCGCCCTGCTTCGAGGTGCCGAACTCGTGCTCGAAGATCGGGTTATCCTGCGTTCCGATGATGGCGAAATAGTACGACATCTTCGGTGGTAAAGTTGGTTATCTGTCGATCATTTGCGACGGGAATCGGGTTCTTCAAAGTTGAATGTCTTGGATAGCTTCAACTTTAGGTTGAAGGAGGTACATGGATACTTAGAGTAAAAGGGTTTAGTGCGGATTGGAAGTGGACCTGTCCTAGCCGTGGGGTGATCGGCGTCTCGGAGGTGGCTCGTGCGCGAGCAGTTCGGCTCGAACTTTTCTACTTGCGATATCAATCCTCCATACAAGTTAATTGCATTTGAATCGTCGAACATAACATCGCACACAATGTTCGGCGCATTCAGACCGACGAATTCGCTATGTGGCGGTCTTCTATGGTAAGTCAGGAGTCGACGGATTCTAACTGGTCAACACTCCCCCACAACATCGCTAATTATATGCTTTATATAGGAAGATTCCGTGGCGTCTATCGAAATTCCAGAAAGCACGACAACGGCATCGGCTTCGGGGCGTCGATGCGGTTGTGGCGACTCTTGACAAAGCTCTCACGAAGAAGGGCGAGACGCTAAAGGCCCTCGAGGTGTGGAAGGAGACAATGCCTACCGAAGCTGAGATGCTGCCGAAAGACAAATACACCATGTTCGACAGGAAGGTAAAGCGATATAGAAAGGGAATTCATAGTAGGTTACCAACCCTGCTGTTGTACGGTTGAGTTTCTGGGATGCAATAGTACTGACAGTGAGGACTAGAACTGCCAAAATGGACGAGAGTGTCGCAGAGACTAAACCCGCCTGGTTATTAAACGCCTACGAGATATTCCACGATATTCCCGCGATCTACGTCAATTCACCTACATACGCCCATACTCCATCCCAGAAATGTGCACTCTTGTGCTATATAAAGGAGGGATTAGAGAGCAGGAGAAAGCTGTATGGAAAGTCATATTTTGACAGCATGACCTTGAATCACAGCTAGAATCCGACGGACTGTATACTATTGTACTTGAACCCAAGAAGCACATAAGCTTTAGGCTTTCTATAATGGCATACAGTAAAGCATAAAGTAAAACAATAGAAGGCGGATCTTTCGTCACAAAATGGACTTGGTGAAATTGCAACTAGCAGTGAATTATCCATAACCGTGTGTATCTGTATTTGCCAGACTTTATCTAATACAGGGTATCAAATGAACCATCTTGCTAGCCAAAGGCCTATCGCCGAGCAATTCTTCGAGACTACCGAAGACGGCCGTAATCCTCTTCCGTGTGATGGTCTCGTTCTCTATTCCGCAGATTGTCGCGCTCTCGGTCCGTCTGGATGGCTCTGCCTAGTCCGCCTCTGCCCTCGTCGTAATCGTCACGGTACTCATCTCGCACCTGACCACCAGACTTGCCTCGGCCGTACTGACGACCCTCTTCAAAACCGGGGTCTAAGTCCGTACGGATGATTCGTTCGTCAAGCTTAGTGCCGCCGATGTATTTCAGGCAATCGAGAGCATCTTGGTGGGTATAGTACTCGACAAAACAAAATCCGCAGGGCGTCTTGTTGAATCGGTCAAGCCCCATGACTAGGCGCTTGATCTCACCACACTTGGAGAATAGCTCGTAGACCTGTTCTTCTGTTGTATAGAAAGATCTGATTGAAGACATTAGGGTTGAAACTTAAGGGGTAATAATACGAGAAGAGTTTAGAAGAAAACATACAAATTGCCAACATAGAGAGTAGTAGCGTTCTTCAGAGGGTCTTCTGGTGCTTCTTCTGGCTGGGCATTGGCTCCTTCAGCATCCCCATCCCTTCCGTCGCGGCCGTGATCATTCCGCCGGCGCTTGTTCTGCTCCAAATAAGATCTGTAAGTTTGCGTCGGTGCCATGATAAGTTGGTTGGAATACGATGAATGAGGTCACATACCCGGCTGTTGTAATACGCGCTAGGGCGGTCTAATCTGTCAACTGTTGATCGAGTTATATGCGGCATCTTATACTGTTTTTTTTTCAATAAACAAAGAAAACTGACAATAGGTTGTTTCAAAGTGATTGTGTATCAAGGAAGGCTGAGTGTTAGAAGTGAATTGTGACTTTGGATATGGTAAGTTGCATAAGATACGTCAATTGAGAAAGGCTGAAGCTTGTATCCACTTTTACGTTTTATGATGCTCATGATTGGTCAGAATGGGTCGGTACTTAGAAGGGTAGCTCCTGGCCAGTGGCTAGAGCTCCCATGCGCGTCTTGTTAGATCATGGATGAATCGCGCCTGGACTTTTTTTTCTTTACTAGAGCTAGCTCGGTACCCAAACAAAGTACCGTTTTGTTTCCTACCACCAAAACTTGCGCACGATATGTATCAAGGTACATAGATAGCTAGAATTGTACCTGTAGGTGCTACCGCAAACACCAGCACCTTGGCAGGGCAACAAAATATCCCAAATAATCCCAACTTACATCTAGATCTTCTCTCCCCATTACTTACTTCAACACGCAATTCAACCCCAACCAACAACAACTAGCGCATATCTGCAAATCCTAGGCAGAAATGCAATTCTGCTGATGACACGACATACCTCAAGCTTACCTATTCACCGATCTCACCGAACTTAGGGAACTGAACGAACATGCCTAAAATAAAGGCGTATACCCCCGCCTGGCTTCTGCAGCCTTCGCCCGGACACGACCTCTTCGTACCCGATCCGAATGATACCCAAGCTGCTCTAGCATATACATCCAAGGCCGTTTCAAGAGATGGCCCTCGACGCACTATTGCTCGTCGCGGCACCGAAGTCTTCATTGCTGTTGGCAAGGAAATTAGATGGGCAGATCTGCTTTACATCAAAGAACGATGGGAGGAGAAACAAGCCAGAGCTCATGGTGGTATTCGAATCAAGCGAGAGGACTCCGACTCGGACGACGAGTTGCTGAGAGAATCAATAGAGAATGGATCCGCTGAAGGTTTCCGAGTAAGTTGTTTTGTGACATGTTTATCACGACCGAACCGTTAATCCATCCCTTCTAGACTATCAAGACCTCTGTTGGTAGTGATATCCAACAGCTCGTTATATCGCCTTACGCGGACTTTATGGCAGTTGTAACTACTCATACAATCCGCATCATCCTTATACCCGATTCAAGCCATCTTACGGCTCCCAGCCTCGACGCCATCAAGCCCAAGTCATGGACCTTAGGCCCGACAACACACGTTATGGACCGATCGCCGATCGCCTCCGCTATATGGCATCCGCTGGGCGTGAATGGCTCTGCACTAGTCACAGTCACGAAAGATGCTGTTGTAAGAGTCTGGGAACTCTCCCAGAAGGATCGATGGTCTTTCGACACCCCTTCCCTTACTATCGACTTACAGAAGCTTGCCGACGGCACCTCATTGGACCAGAATTTCGCTGCTTCGCCCGACTTCACTAACAAGGGTTTCTCGCCAGACTCTATTGAGATGGATGTCGCGTCGGCCTGTTTCGCTGGTCGGGGTTCTGGAAATTGGTCGCCGATGACTCTATGGGTTGCGATGCGCGAAGGGGATGTGTATGCTTTATGTCCTTTGCTACCTGCTCACTGGGCTCCCCCACCGACTCTCATTCCTTCGCTCTCTATCTCTATCGTCGGAAATCTGGCTGCGATCGAAGATGACCCGAATGTTTCTGAACAAGCGAAGTTGTTAGCACAGCAACAGCTAGACTGGATGTCGGATCTTGATAATCAAGAACCCAGAGTTATTGAGGGTCCCCCTGGAGAGCCACCTACAGAAATTTACACACGTCCTTCAAGGCCTGGCATAGTCCCTCGTTTGCAGGGACCTTTCGATCTAGAATTAAGCCCAGACAGCGAGGACGACTTGGACACCGAATTAACCGACATCTTTGCCATCGGCCAGAAGCTTGACACTGATGAGTTAATGATAGGAGAAGAAGACGAACTCGACATGGAAGATATCGAAGGAGAAGGTTTATCTATTTCCATCATATGTCTACTCTCGTCTAGTGGCCAGTTGAGAGTATGTCTAGATCTTGATGGAGTTCAAGCTCAGTGGCTCCCCCCTCGAAATAAGTCGAAGGCCATGGGTCGTTTAACCGGATCACCATCTCTACTCACGTTCCAAAGCATGGATATCTTGAATAATCTAGAGGTGGCCGAAAATGCCTGGCCCATGTTCAGTCCCGATGTTACTTCAAGATATTCTTTCTATATCACACATCCTTCTAGTATTACTCATGTCTCGTTGGCGCCGTGGGTCTTCCGCCTCGAAAGTGAACTTCAGGGCGATTCGCAAGCAGGGTCCGAATTTAGAATTGATCTGCTCGTTAGCGGACAGAACTCCACTAGGGAAAGGCTCTACACAAATTCAGCCCAGGGAGACGCACAACTACCCTTAACCGCATCGGTCGCCATTCGTGATCCTGATCTTGGTTACTTCCTATTGTCTGCGACACCGTTCAATCCAATTGCGTTGATCTTCGATACACCAGAAGACGACCTTCCCCCTATTCGGCCAGCTTCGCCTATATTTGACAAGGATGCGGAAGTGCAGCCCCTAGATTTCTACGAACCTCGTCCTATCTTTCAACCGTCACATGCTTTCGATCAGAGCTCTGTGTTACCAAACTTGCTTAACCAGCTCCGCACCGGTCGTCATAAAACAGTTGTCAATCAGGAAATTCGACTTTCGCCACTAACCTTGCAGCTTTTCACCGAAGCCCACAAGATCCTCAGCGAGGAGACGCACAGACTCGGTGTGGCGGCCGCTGAAGTATTTAGGCGGTGTATCCAATTACAAACGGAACTCAAGCAACAAGTGAACAAAGCAAATGAAGTTAGAGGTAGAGTTGAAGCTATTACAGGGGAGGACCAAGATGAGGAAGGCCAACCAGAGTCGAACAATAGCGCCATCGAACGACGTTTACAGAACGCGAGGGACAGGGGAGAAGCTATTAGCAAGCGGCTAGAGAAGATGCGAAAGATCGTCAGTAAGGCGACCAGTCGCGAATTGAGCGATAAGGAGAAGGCTTGGGTAAAGGAGGTGGATGTTCTGGACGCCAATCTGTTTGGATCTACAACGCCAGCGGACGGACCCACGCGCTTAAAGCAGACTAAGAGGAGGTACGAAGAAGTCACGCGGCTGAGGGATGAGCTCTTAGAGGAGGCAGAAAAATTAGGCGCAACTACAGGTGAAGGGGAAGAAGGTGTCAGCACACCGACGACCGATTTGCGCATACCCTCGGAACTCCGGAAAGCAAAGATTAATCAAGTAAAGGGGCTCATCGAACGAGAGACGGCATTAGTGGATGCGGTGAAGTCGCGACTCGAGCGACTGTCAGTTGTTGGGTAGGCAGAGTACAGCGTATGGGCGTGGCGCGCCGGGATGCACCCAGTCGCAGGATGTGTCCCGTCGAGGCATGTATAAAATGTGATATTACAGTCTAATGTGCATACGGTTTACAAACAGGGCGATTGGATGAAATTTTTCTTTTCGATTCTTTTCTTCTTTTTTTTTTCGTGGCAGGTTTAACGGACTAGGATACAGTCAGCATTCTCGTTGTCGTGGAGATCGGTTGACGAATCTTACCGTTACTCACTGTGACGTCTCAAGCAGTGTCGCCAGATGCCCAATTGGGCTCAGGTAAAGGAGAAGCAGGAATTACGGTGCCGATCCTTTCTCTTGTTTCGACGGTTTCACCACAGGAGGCAATCTCGGCAGGTCTTGTCCAATAGCGTGGGTCCAGAACATCAGTCCACATGCAGCCTTGCAATACGCCGCCTAAACGAATGGGCTTGCTACCCAGTAGGTTAGACAATCGACAGCTGAGTAACCAAGATTCGAAAAGGGTCTAGACAGGACTTTGCTTCTGCCCTAAAATCCGAGAGCCTACCTACATAGGTACCTGGTACTATGTCGACGAAAATGGTAGCCGTGGAATATTGAGAGACTGGCTAAATTCTGATTCCTAATAGGCACCACTCAAGTTGGTGGTACAGCTATATAACCTGAGGATCCCTTCCGCCTTTATGAAAAATTTCCCTTTCGTCTTCCGATGGTTCCATTACATGAGCTGAATACTTGCAGTGGCTATTTTCAATAAGTTGTCTTTGTAGAAGGTCGTTGCAAATCCCAACATTCTGGACCCAACCATAACTCGTTCGCCTCGGATTTTCATTGGCCACGGATTTTCTTAAGGCCAGCCCAGTATTTATTTGTTATTCCGCTCATTACCCTTAGTTTCCGGACCGAGAGATTCTAGACACCCTGTTTCCGGCAGGCTTTCACGAAGTTACGAATCGGGCAAACGACAATCACGGTCGTCTTTGGGTACGGGCGGCCGGTTTATAGTGGCAAAAATTGGGCACGATTCTTTTCAGGGTCTCGTTCACGTTGATCACCATCCCGTGTTTGCATCCAATACATGCACCTCATTAAGTATGACCTCAAGGCCGGTACCCGTAGGCTGCCGGTAGAAGCAAAGAGGTGTGGTCGTGTAACCTTTCTCAACATGGACTGGGGAAATGCTCGTCAACGCCGAGGCTTACTTCAAAGCGCCAATAAGTATTGTGTGCCCTTGATACAACCGTTGGTCCGCCATTGCAGCCATTGACGTATCAACGTAACAGATGTCTTGCTACCTCCAAACTGGCGCTTCGGAGGGTGTCGGGTCTGCCATTTCATAGCGTCAGCTATTCTTGTGTTATGGCCCCCTTTCACTTGGGCTGAGATACCTTCCCTGATGGCCAAGACATGATGTTAAAAGATCCTACAACCCTCATGTCCGCCTCACTCCTGCAATGTAGGTCCCATAAAACGAATCCTAGTCCGCGTAGCAAGGTTGCGTGCATAGTCTCACCTGGGGATCGTCTTCCGCCACCAGTGCGCGTATATAATACGTCCTTTCTGATGTGGTCCTGAACTTTGAGAGTAAAGATTATCGCTCTCGAATCTTGATCAATGCTCATACGTCTTCCCGATCCGTCCTCCAGAGCCTCTCCCCACCCACAACCAGAGTGCAATATGGTATCCGTAGCATCCGACTCCTTCGCAAGGTTCGATTTCAGGAGTCAGATAATAGGCAAGTGTCGACCGATTTGCCTCTACTTCGCTATCATAAGCGCTAACTCTCGCATAAAGATAATTGTGAATTCTTCGTATCTAAACACGATGTCGTCCAAGTGATCACTACCAAGGTTGCCACAGGAGCTTATGTGGCGTACGCGGTCCGCTCCAATGAGAAGTCCCGCGATGCACTCCTCTGTTCGGAACGTTGCGCCGCAGTGCAAGACACCATCGAGTCGCTACACAACAAGTCGTGCGAGGCAGTTCAAAACTATATCACAACCAACGGGTTCGCCTATCCCCCAGACCTCAAGAAGACCAAGCTCAGCAGCGACGGCGAAGACGACGATGACAGAGTCGAAGAGGTCGAAGAAGAGGATGACGACGACGCGGATGTGGCGTCAGTCAACTCCGGCCGATCCGCGTCATCTACCGTTGCTTTGTCCTGCTGGAACAGCTCTGACGACGAGGCGGCGTCCATGACGCCCGCCACGTCCGCAGACCCCCACGCAAGCCACGAAAAAGGACAGAAACTCAACAACATTCCCACCGGTTACCACAACATCAACACTAACCACGGAGTTCCTTACGCCTCCAATTTCGCTAGCAAACGCCGCTCCAAGCCACCTCATGTAGTACCAGGGGTTATAGGGGCAGGCAAGCCGCCAAGCCCGCACTTCGGTCCCGACGACTCCGACGACGACATGATACGTCCGGGGCACATCCAGCTGCCGCCGCCTCCACGCGTCAAGCCCGTCAAGACCTCCCCCAAGATGCCCCATGGCTTTTTCGTCGCCGGTAACGGGACCGCCGCTACCAGCCCTGTGCTAAACAACACTCCTAACATCGGCACCAGCGCGGGTAACGGCAGTGGGATGCCTATGGGCATGGGCATGGGCATGGGGGGTATGTCCAATGCGAACTCGTACCGCCCGCCCCCGCCGCCACCAAATTGGTCTGGCCCGCTACTGCAACACATGCCGCCGCCCCCAATGCGCTTCGTCCCCGGCCCCCCGCAGGTTCAGGCCCCGCCTCAGCAGCAACAGCAACAAGTCACGCCGCAGTACTTCGCACACCACGCAATCCCGCACGCGCAGGCTCCTCCAAACCCCCAGCCTGTCCCACAGGGACTACCGAGGACCGCGTCGCTGCACTATAAAGCCAGCATGCCGAATCTCAGCACCGGCGCGTCGCCGCAAAACCCCGGTGTAAGTACCGGTGCGGGTAACAACAGGGTCTACGACGTCCGGCTCACGATCCGGTGGCCGGGACGCGGGGAATCGAAGATCCTGGAGAGCGCGCGGCCGAGCGTGCGCGCTTTGCAGGAGAAGGCCGTCGCGTACGCGAGGACGCATGCTGGGGCTTTTGAGAATGGGAAGGTGGGGAGGTATATTTACCCGGCTACTGGTGTGGGTGGTGAGAATGGTGGGAGTGGGAATGGGAATGGGAATGGGAATGTCACGCTTCGGGCTTGTGTGCGCAAGGCTTTCTTCAGCGCTGGCGAGGCGTATGATATGAGTGCGTATCGCGGCGATGATTTGACGAAGTTGTTTAGTGTTATGAGTGCCGGTGGGATTCCTAGGTTCGAGATCGAGGTCGAGGCTGTCCCGCCTGGGTTGCATTCGTTTAGACCTGGGAGTTGGGTTAGGGATGAGGATTTGGGTGAGGATTTGAGGGATGAGTAGGGGGTTTGGTGTTAGGTAGGTATGGTTTGGGCGCTAGGTGTGGGAGTTACTTTCTCGGTTGGCCTTTGACTTTCAACTTACCACGCTCTCGCCCCCTTTTACGGGAGTGCTTGAAAATTGGTGAGGGTGTCGAGTCTGCGAGTCGTTAGATCTTGGGAGGTTTCTCTCTTTTCTTTTTTTGAGTTTCCTTCTTTGCATTCATGATTGTATGAACTTCTACTATACTTCACGGGACTTTTACGACTCCATTTCGAGGCTTCCCGTCGTTTCGCCAGATGCTAAGACATCGGGTGGATGCCACATCAAGATGTCTTGAGCACTCTTACTTTTTTTCTCTTTCACATATCGGCGTTGTTCTCTCTACCTACTAGACTGCAACGAGACGAGGTGGACATGGACGGGAGATGAAAAGCAGGTGGTCTGTTTTCATGTTTCTCGTTACGCTCTCGGTGCTGTTGAGTCTTTCGCGTGTATTTACTAGGTACTTTCGCTGCGTTGGCTGGCTGGCTAGCTGGCAATTTGTATAAGTGTGTCTTTTAGATGACCTAGAATGTGATTCCTTTCTCTAGTTAAGATCCTTCACTGCCCCTTTACATCTTATATCCGGGCCGAGCCGTTAGATCAGAACACCGGGCTACAACTATGCGTGTTGCTCTCTCGCTCCGTTGGCCGAACTTCGCTTTCTGGGACGTATAAGGCGTGGACCCGGTATATTTGCATGCCACTTTTCAACTATCCCGTGGAGATCTTTGACGGTCAATGGACTTACGACTTCATAAGACCTTCAAACGGCCTTTAATCTGTATCTCCGATATGATGCTCCAGACATCCAATCTCCTACAATGGAGGTCCCTAGGTATAAGGATAACTGATACTGTCCTGATTTCTCGCATCACTTAACACCTATCACCTACCGCCAATCACATCAACCATGCCTCCCTTACCTTGCCCAACAAAGGAACACATTCGTCAGGTATTTTCTCACTTTGCGGAGGGCAACGCAGAGGCATTCTACGCCCACGTCGCCGACGATGTCGATCTAACCCTTACGGGATCACATGCCCTAGCAGGTCGTTATGACAAAGCGACATTTAGATCTCAAGCTCTGGCTCGGGTCAACTGCATATTTGACGGACCTGTCAAACTGCATGTCAGGAGTATCATTGGCGGAGAAGTGGAAGAGTGGGCTGTGATCGAGCTGACTGCGGAAGCGAGATGTAAGAATGGTAAGTCTTGAGCCTCAATGCGCAACTTCTTAATACGAATACGAGATCCTAGTCGAAATATGTCGGAAATATTAATGATTTTGACAATTTTATTTAGGTCTTGTATACGATCAGACGTATTCGTGGTCCACGCGGTGGAAAGACGGCAAGATTGTCGAAGTCCGCACGTACATGGACGGTCTGCTCTTGAACAAGGCTCTAGCAGAAAACGAGAACGAGTCTTAATTGAGTGGGAATATTAGGAATATCTAGGCGAAACCTGCCTAGAAAAATGACAGGAAGACGACAGAAAAAAATCTCCGCGATCGGGGAAATATACTAGATTCATTTTCTATCAAGATTTACGTCTCGTCTTAATTGCTAATTCTGGCGTGTCACCCAAGATATAAGATGCAAGTTAATACGATTATGAGATCGGGTCGTCCGTAGCGCGTTTGGTATCTCGCTGGTAACTCGGGCTTCTGTGGTCGAGTCCTAGTTCGACGCATAAGGAAACTAGTCGCACGATACCTCAGCCCGATTGGTCGAGGATCCAACACTTCTCCATGACCAGGCCAAGAGTCGATACCTCCAATTATAAAATTGCCGGTCGGTAGGTGCAAGGTGACCCGAGGTGACTAAGTGACTCCAACACGGTCGTTAATCCCTCCTCGTCATCCCGACTTATCTCCGCCGCGTCGGTCCCGTCTAGGGAATACCTTTGTCATCTATACGTACCCCTAACCCTCCACATCTGCCGGTTCCCCTGCGAGAGACGCGGAGTTGGCGCGCTAGGATGCCGTCGAGGGTCTGGGTATCAGCCTATATCGATGCAGGAGGGATCACCAAGCCTCCAGGTGTCACAGAAATAGCACGTCATGGTTTAGCGAAACGCTTCCGTAAGACGACTAGATGATCTACCGCATCCCCTCTCTCTCACCCACCTGCGCAGGCCAGGCAGCGCGGGCTGCTTCGGAGATCGATGGGCTCGGGGACGGTGCGTCGTAAAATCCAGCAGGCAGGTAATAAGGCATACCCCTCGCGTAGCTCCTCAAGCGTATCCGCTCTATATCCAGTATAAGAACGTCTACCCCTCGATCCGTTTGGTCCGTTCATAAGCCCATCCCCTACACTCGTAGAGAAAGAGAAGAAGAAGAAAAGAAAAACAGACCTACCGAATCTAAAGCCCTCACCAAACTCAAGAACCCAAAAGAAGAAAAAATGGCATCCCTCCACCCCCTCCTCGACAACGGCATCACGAAAGGCGACGCCAGCTTCGCCGGCGGCAAGCTATACTGCAAGTGCGCGAGCTCACCCGTCGAAGTAACGCTGTCATCAAACGTAGCGCACAACCACGCATGCGGGTGTTCGAAGTGCTGGAAGCCGTCTGGGGCTCTGTTCTCCATCGTCGGCGTCGTGCCGCGGGACAACCTATCGGTAACAGCCAACGAGTCGAAGCTAAAGATCGTCGACCCCAGCGCCGCCATCCAGCGGTACGCCTGCACCGGCTGCGGCGTCCACCTGTACGGCCGCATCGAGGTCGAGCACCCTTTCAAGGGCCTCGACTTCGTGCATGCCGAGCTCAGCCCCGAAAAGGGCTGGCAGGAGCCCCAGTTCGCTGCTTTCGTGTCTAGCATGTGAGTACCTAGTCCCTACCCTCACCCTCATATCACAAGCTGACTCCAAGATGCAGTATCGAGCAGGGCTTCGACCCCGCCAAAATGAGCGAAGTCAGGGCAAAGCTCAGCAGCGTGGGCCTGGAGTCATACGACTGCCTGTCGCCCGCACTAATGGACCTGCTCGCCACGTACACGGCCAAGAAGAACGGTGCGCTGAAATAAAAAAAAACGGCTTCCGAGTCGTGAAATACCAAATTTTCAAAATTAAAAAAAGAAAATGGGAATGGCTAACGAACGAAGAGATGATGAATAAAAAAGTCCGTCACAAATTGTGAGAGAGGACCTCGGATATGTACCTAAGGATCTACCTAAATACTAGAGGACGTCGGAAAGCACTCGAGGGGGGAAAGTGGGTTAGTTATAGTAGGAGGAGGAGGAGGAGGAAGAAACAGTTCTGTGCCCGTTGGTAAATTCGGCGGCTGCTGTACCTATGTAATTATATATATGAACGAAGAAAAAAAATAAGATCCCCCGATACCCGCTGCCCATCAAGGTGTCCATCAAGGTGTTCTTATATAGCGTTTACCTACCCACTTACCTATGAGCTGGTATTATTCATCGACAGTCCGGTCTATTGGTCGGAATATGATTACTTCCAAAGTTTGTTCCTCGGGACTTGGGATTAGTAAACATCCATCAGTTTACTCCGAGTCCCAACCCCCTCCTTTTTAAGCATTCGCCACCACCGCGTCGTGATACGTAACACAACGATGTCTCACCAGTGAACATATCCTCTTATTTATCAAGTCCGGGTTCGAAGGAGAGAAAGCCGTAGTATCACCTGTAGAAATCAACTCGAAAGAACCAAGTAGCTTAAAAAAAACCAAGGAGACAATGAATAAAGCAACCAAGTTCTTTGCGAAAGCAGCATATATTGAGTTCGAAGATAGTCGATAACTACTATATAACCCTATAGATAGCCGGGAGAACACCTATAAGTTGAGTCTTCGACACCAGACGAGCGTATAACAAACACCCATCCCGCGTACCTAAGACGTGTCCTGACCCCTACATACCTAACAACAGCATGCCTTCGCTTCCTTTCATTTCCACCTCCTCTCCCCTACCCTTCCAGATCAACAACGACGAGCGCTAGTAGCGACAACAGCCCCAACAATACCAACAACAGCTCATCTATATATACGGGTTTCGGTTAGTCGCCTTGTCAGCCATCTCAACTAAAACAACAGTGTCCTGTGCGGGGCTCGAATAGTCCAAATCTCTCCCTTCCTCCCTCTCTCTCTGTCTCTCTCTCACCAAATCTATCCCCCACAACGCCGCCAAAATGCCAAGACAAGATGCTACCACCTCCCTCCCCCTCCCCCACAAGCCACACTTCTACGCATCAACGCATACGCGCGTTTAATATATACCCTGGGTGCGGTACTGGAAAGTATCATAACTGCGCGTTAATAGTTAGCTAGAAATTTCTTTATACAAAAGAAGGCGGTTAACTCGCAGTCGTGTGTAGTAGCTGCCGAGGGACTTCGTGATGAGGTCCGTCTCCACGAAGCTCTCCGCCGCGTCCGCGCTGAGATGCAACTGGAAGCGCTGCCGCAGCGTCGCCGTAGCCTGCGTCACGCCCGCCGAGTAGCAGGGCATTTTCGAGTCCAGTCCCATCATGCTGACTAGATCGACGATGTTGTCGGCCGATCGACGAAGTGCTAGGAAGAGAGTTAGGTGAATGCCGCGTAGATAGTGATAGGTAGGCATCGATAGGGTTGGATCTTACCTTGGAAAGCTTGCTTGCATAATGTCTTGAAATCCTCAAAATCTGGAGAATCAACACCGCCCAACACGTCCACGTACTCCCAAGTCAGCTTAAAAGGAGCCGCTTCAAATCCAACCGATCCGGGAGAATTTGAAAGCATGAATCCAAAATCAATGTGGATGATATGTCCCTCATTATCGATGAGCACATTGCCGTTGTGCCGATCCTTCAATTGTAATATGTACGAGATGATGCTGTATGCCGCAAGGGATCGCTTAAAAGCGTCTACCGCCGCCTTGTATGGCTCGCTATCCGGCTTGCCAAATGTTTTCACCCAATGATCCTTCAATGTCGCAAATCGACGTCGTGGGTTTACCCCTGACTCAATCGATGCTATAGTTAAACTTCGCTTTAGCGAATGTAGGGAGACGCCGTTTGTAATCGTTTCGATGAGGCCTGATGATTCTCCGGTGACCAAAATTCGCATCAGCTTCACCCATACAGGAACGCCGGCATCGACCCAGATCTTATGGCAGACCTGAATAAGTTGACAAGCAAATGCCTCCTGCCGAAGATCGGCTCCAGTCTTGACGATCACACTGACCAAGTCCCAATTCTTCATCCACCCGTACGGCGAGGTCTTGCGTATCCGCTCTTTCTTCATGTTCCACGCTTCTCCAAATACAGCAGCACTAGGGTCGTCACGATCGCCCTTTCTCTGCACCCCGCCCGTCATTGCGTCGTTCTCCATCCGAGCGGCACCGGCGCTTGAGTTACTCGTCGGGTCGAGTTCTTCATCTAAGTCGGAACCTTCAGGGGGCGAAGACGCCGCACTAGCTGCACTGGCCGCGCTAGCACTGGCCTTGGCCATAATTAAATCGAATGTAGGACCTTGGCCATCGTCGAGGTCGAAGCTTTGTTCTTCGAGACTTTGCATGCTTGCGATAATCTTTGATCTAATAGCTGCCACTTCTTGACGAGGCCGTTTACCGCTGGTGGCATCAAGTTGAGCCAACATTTGTGATGCTGTTCGCATATGCGTTGCCAGAGCCGAGAAGTCGGGCGGTTGATCGCCAGACGTGTTACGCTGGTTCGACAACGTTATTCTTCTCAGTGCCCCTGGACTGCTCGACCTGGACGTCGATGTCGGCGAAGTACGCGACGGAGTTAGGTCAAGCGATGTAGATACATTTACTGTGCCGTTGGTTATGGTCCTATGGTGAGCAGGTTGCTTCCCATTTCTTTTGTTCGTGGTTTCGTCATGGTCAAAGGGTTTAAGCATCGGCGAAGTTCCTAGATCCCCCGAAGTTGGTTCGAAGACACTATCAATCTTTTCCAAGTTGGGCTCAGAAATTCTCTCGGTAGCTTGGGACTTCTGTGAATCGGATAAATCAAAAAGGCGCTTGCGAGTCCCTTGTTCAGCTACTAGATTACCAAGCAGCCTCTGATTCTCCCCGGAGCTAGGGTCGAAGGTGAAATCATCCCGAAGGATCTCGAGCATAAGCAGATATGGTACCTTTTCGGCACTATTCAGGACAGTGGCTTCGGCAGGGTTTACCCTTACGATACGATGATGACGACTCTTTGCCGGCGAGCCATCTACCAAAGTGGGTGGACATATGATTGGGATATCTAGCTCAGCGGGCAAATCCCTAGCAATCAGTGCAAGTTCGGCCCGCAAGGCACTAAGGCGAGCCGGCTTTGGTACTATGACTAGTCGATTAGATATATCCTCGAGCGCCGCTAGGAATGCTGTTTGGCAATGAAAGTAGTTTTGCCGAAGCAACTTCGCTTTCTGAGCCATGGTCATTTCCGCTAAGCTTGCGGATGTCTTTGCATGGTGAGAATGCCTGCGTGAGATCGTGTCCATCGGACGTGGTAGGCCAGCGGAGAGCGGAGTTATAGGTCGTATCACCCTCGGTGATCTTACCTCGGGAAGAGGAAGAGATGACGAGCTTAAATGAGCTTCTAACATTTTACTGTCGATATAGCCCGGTTTTCGTGGTTCGAATGTAGCTTCTCCATCAGCTCCAGGACTCGCAAGCGTGGGAGTGCTAGGATGAGGATGCGGATACGGTGATTTTTTAGGAGACGAAACGGATTGCCTAGAATCAGATATACTCCCAATCCGAGCCAGTTCACGGGGCCGTCGTGACCTCGTTGTGTTTCCGGTGACAGTCTGGCTCCTAGTAACCTTAGACATATGGGTCGGAGGGCTTGGCTGGCTCGTTTGGTTCGTTTCGGATATGACGTTGATGGATGGATGGGATTTCCTCGCCTGTGCTACAGCTAGAGGGCCGGCCCATTGCGGCAAGCTTGGAAGGCCGACGCTGGCCAAGACAAAACTCGCAAGCACTGTGACAGGCAAAATGTTCTCTTTGATCTTTTCATGTCTTGCTGTGTCCGACAACCCGAACACAATATGTTGTACCTTATTATAAACTCTCCGACATGTCTTGAAGGCTTGTGACTGCGGCGTCGAAGCGAGGTCGCGCAGGTAAGTTTGGAAAAGCCAAAACGTCTAAAGCAATTATTCAGCAAATATGTCCTCTCGTACAGTAGATTCAGTGGGTGTGCGGACCAGAAGTGCGGCTGTGACGGATTCCTCGCAAAGATCTAACAAAAACTCCTCCAATGCCATAGACTCATTATCGACGCTTATTATAAGGTGACACAACTGGGGCAGGAAGAATTCGATATCCTCGTATGGGAATTGGCGGAGCTTGGAACACAAAACATAGTGGATTCCGACATGGTCGGCATATCGGCTATAGAAATCGGGTCAAAAGGGTTGCCGTCGCAAAAAAAATATGGGAGGAATTGCCTACGATAGATAGGAGACGGAGAGGAAGGGATTCTGGTTAAAGACATCACTCTCGATAAAGCGCTGGAGTAGATCCCACGACATAGCGAGCTGTCTTTAATAAGCGGAAAAGAGATCATGAGGCTCGATGCCTCACCTATGTTCGACATTAAACGGCTGAAGAGAATAGGAAGGAGCTGTCATGGCTGTGGCTGTCGAATACAGCAGCGAGGTGTTGACGATTGGACGGTGAACGATAAAGGTGTCGAAGTTGAAGTTGAAAGTTCCAAGTTGCTTGGCCCGAAGATTTGCGGCGGCGCGCATCGACTCGGATGGTAGGTACCGTACCGTACCGTACCTGCGAATTGAATCGGTCCAATTCATCGAGTACTGCGTAAAATGGCACTTTCTGTCTTTCTTGGCAGGTACATGTACTTCTGACACAGGAGGCATAACGTGCTGCAACAGGACCCTGTAATCATAATACCGCATCTTGATTGGCTTAAACTTATTAACGTAGCTGTCATTATAGGCAAGGTTAGTACTTGTACTTCCGAGGACCTGCACTCTCTCGCTTCTATTCAATACGGTAGGAGCTCCCGAATCTACCGAGAGCTCCCCAACCTTAATAGCCTACCAATCTTGAACTAGAAGCATTTTAAAGTTACACGGCTTAGTACTTGATTCAAGCAGCACTTTTAAGTGTTACGATCAAAAAGACGATAGGTAATTCTTAGAAACACGTCTCTTAATTTAGAAGCTTACTTGCATATCTACCTCACCAGGTAATCATAGCAACACATGCCCTAATACCACTAGGCGGTAGAACAATTACGATCAACTGACATCGTCTATCAAAGACAATTCTTCACATAGCTTCTTGCATGACTACGAACATGGAGTGGAAAAGAAAGGAGTCACTAAGAAACAATCACATTGCAAATGGAACCATGACAGACATGGTCCGTCTCTGCCTTAGTCGGGTTGTGCAGATAATTGCATGCCTTCGAATTTGAATTTTATACAGCCGTATAGGTGAAATCAATGCGTGCGCTCTCGAGCCTCGAAAAGCCATCATGCCACCACAATTCGGGGTGACCCCTTAGACCTCCAACGCCGGTATAATACCCCTAGGTGTAACGCCAGCGGCCCAAATCATCCATCGTGACCTCGTTGCCGTCGTATAATCCGTAGAAAGAGAACGTAGTGAGACGATATAGAAGATAACCTACGCCGGTGCCTTCTTCTTTCGTCCGCCCCGTCCCTTCTTCTTGACTTCCGGTCCCTCGGGCGGTTCCTCCTCGCTGTCGCTTTCGGGCTTGGTTCTGGAGCTCTTACCACCTTCTTTCTCCTCGCCCACCTTAGCCACGATGTCTAGGAGGAAGTCCCATTGGGTAGCAGAGGCGACAGCCTGCTTGAGCATCGGTGCAGTGATTCGTTTCGAGTTCTTCTCCTTCGCTACTTCGGCACTCTTGCGAACGAGCTGCACCATAAACAGCTCCAATGCTTTGCCGACGGCGATAGGTGTTTGCTGGGCGACCTTACCGACTTCTTCGTCGGCCTGCATTATGCGTTTGATGCGCGCCGTGGGGAATTTTGTCCTGACGGGTGACGGGTCCATCTCGGTCTGCTTTGCCGCCGGGGCTATCTTTCGCGGCGGCATGGCACTTTGAGGGTCTGATAGATTGAGTTGTTGTTCGTGTAAATCAGGCTGCGGCGAGGCTGAAAGTTGGGAAGGCTGCGCTTGTGATTGGTGATAAGCAGCGGATGATGAGGACTCGGAGTAAGGCGGATAATAGGAAGCAGAGGTCGGTGCAGTAGCGGTCGGGGTTTGGTAAGAATATGGCCTGGTTGTCTGAATAAATTGGGTTTGTTGCTGGGGGGAGTAATATTGTCCTCCTCCTTGTTGTTGCAGTCCTTGTTCTTGTTGTCCACCGCCTTGGGGAGAGTAAGTGTTAAAGGTGGTATTGTTACTATATGCGGGAGCACTAGTAGGTTGTGTTTGTTGCTGCGGTGCGGGCGATTGATATGTATTGTACTGGTGGGGCTGTGGCTGATTGTGATTGTATCTTAAAGAAGCTCCCGAGCCACCTGCCACTCCAACCCCAGGTACGGCTTGAAAGGGATATCCACCTGGAGTGTTGGCGCTCTGAGGAATGTCGGAAGAAGAACCGGAATAAAAGGATGAAAGATCGGGCGATTTTGGCGCATATGAGCTTTCTTGGGTTGACATGGTCTCAACAGGAATTTTAATTCTATAAAAAAAAAATTCGCGAGACCGCAGTAAAAAAAAAACAAAAAACTGGGGAGCTTTGGAATGGCGGGGCAGCTCTTTTGAGACCTTGTTGCGATACTATGTTTTTTTCTTTTTCTGTGGTCCGTATGAGATTCTTGTGGTATGTCGATTCGGATAGACGTAGTTTTTATGCAGCCTGTGTGGCTGGTCAAGGTTGCTAAAGACAAGGGTGACCTCTTTTAATCTAGTCGCAACCAATAGACATCAAACTAGGTAGGTGCCTACGGTATAAAATAGGTAAAATAGGTACGGCAGGAGGTAGGGAGGTTAGACTAATGCAGGAGGTAGCACCCAATGATGCCCAGATGGTTCAGTGTTATACGCGTTATACGCACAACACGACACAACAATAAAAAGATAGCGGCGGGCAGCAGTGTGAGGTGTGTACAGATGTCCAAATGTCTAAATGTCTAAATAGTCCTACCGCACAATGTACCTTAGGACTGACAGAGGACAATGACACTGAAAAGGCTCTACACTAGCTGTTGCTCACTTCAAATATTGTCTGTAACCTGCGCAATTTGATAGGTTCAATGGAATTGTACCGATTGCACCGTGCAATTTGCATAAGTGCATCAATGTAGATGCGTATGAGTCAGGTGGATACAGCTTCTAGGCTGTGATTGGGTAAAGCTGTTGGCTTGTGACTGAAAGGGGTAGATGGAAAAGAAGGGACGGTATCGAATTGCAACCGTTCAAATTCAATCCGAAATACAGTTTCAACGTTCGTGTGGATGGCGTCGAACGTCGAATAAGAAGATAAAAAGCATAAAGCAGTTTAAAGTGTTTTAGCGAAGGTGGGGTGAATATGCGATCTATGCGTAATTGCTAGGTATGTTTGGGTGGATGATGACTGGAGCTCGGCGCGTTTTTCTGGCTGGCTGGGAAGGAGCCTCGGACTGGTTTTATATTCCTACATGTAATCGCGATTTAGCACCGCCACATCAAGAAAAAAAAAGATATACCCCACACAATCTTCCATCATTATTGGAAGACGTTGCTTAATCTTCCTTAATCCTGTCCGTTTTTACACATCCCACATCCCGTACACTTGCATCGTACACCTATTCTGACATTCATAATTTGGGTAACCGTCCCAGCCCGTCCCAAATAATCCATCGACTCATGCATGACATTTTCGATGATCTTCTCACAAACGGATCTAGCACGTGTGCCCGTCTCCATTGGCACTAGGTGGCCACCGACCAATATTCTGTCACGCATAGCCCGGTCGCATGAGCCGGTCCCAGGCTGCATAGTTGGACATAACATTTAAGTTAAGGTAAATGACTCTCTCTCTCAGCCTTACTGTATTATCGAATTTTTTCTAATAGATAGGCGAATAGTGTATAGAGATTAGTAGATTTGATGCAAAAAACAAAGTTTTGATTATTTCTAGCTCATCTCATTGATAGATGCTTTTGGTCGAACATACCATCGCAACTTAGAGGATGCTTCGGCTAAAATTGGATGCCTTAGTATGTCATGAATGATGATAATCATGTAAAGAGCTTTGTCGGAGACCATTATTAGTATCGTCAGTGTATTTAGAAGCCGAGTACTCGTGCTCTACGGTTTCTTATCTGCTGGTGAGGTCTGTGATGACATAACTTGATCTAATCTGACATGACATAAGAATTACTTAGGTATGGGAATCTATGGTCCATGGCCCATGGTCCATGGATCTATTCACATTGGATCAAGGAGCTTGACCTTTACGCCAAGTGGCGGCCGTCTCATCTATTGGATACCATGATTTCAATTTAATCGATATTATCGCGAATCTCCTCCACTAAATATTTCAGTCCTTTTTGTCTATCACTTAGTGAACTACTAAGAAACAAGCATGCTACAGGCCAAGCGTGGATGCCTCCCTTTTCTTCCCTACTATGCACTTTTATATCGTTCTCCTCGAGGAATCCAATCAAATCCGATATTTCAGGCGCGAAAACCTCTTCGGCGCCGTAGGCTATGAAGATGCCTTTCTCAGGTATTGCGCTTTTCCACCACGAAATATCCCTGCAGTTTCCCGGCGACAAGAGTGAATCATTGACGGAAACATTCTCTCCGGCGTACTGACGAGCATACTGATGCAAGTTTCCGGCATCGAGATAGTCGCTCGTGGTATTTTGATGCTTGCTGGAGACCAGCGTCACCCATGGCGAAATGAGTACAGCCATCCCGGGTTTTGCCAGGCGCCAGGCTCCGGTACTGCCCATCTTTTCGAGATGGCAACTTATATTGGCGAGGTGGAGGAGCAGACTGAGCACTATAGTGGCTCCTGCAGAGTCTCCGCTGACACAAATCTTGTCGGGATCCCGAACGGCCGAGAGCACATGCTCATAGGCAGCTATTGCTTCCTCTAACTGCGTCGGAAAGCTTGCATCGGGGACCAAGGTATAATCCAAAGCGAAGATAGCCGGATTTTGATACCCGCTGTTGCCTAGCAAGTTTAACCATGCGAGCAGAAATTCAAGGTAGAAGTACGCCGAGCCCATTGAGAAGCCACCGCCTAGATTATCGTCAGCCACCACCCAATTCGGTCCGGATACGTATTCGCATACCATGAGCGTAGAATACGCAAATATCAGGTTTCTTCATCGGATCTTTAATAATCCAAATCCCTTTGAAGCGTTTCTACGGTCCATCTCTATCAGCACACGCTTGGTAGGAATTGGGTTGTCATGGCGAGGGCATTCTCGTACATCATTGTACTCATTCCAGTGGATAGGTGACCTGAGATAGCCATGGCGTAAGATCCGGAATCTCAAAAATGGCAACGCCACCGACTTAGAAAAGAACACTCTTCCAACGTTAGGAGGTATATTTGCGAAAGCATAGCGAACGCAGCGAATCACGAAATCCTCGAATGGAGTTGCTTTTTGTACGAATGGAGACTGCTTATCGTATCCAATGAGGTAGCGCTCACGAATGAACTTGAAGGGAAGTTCAAGTACTGTGGTTGTATTCTTTGATTAGCTATGCCGTCTCGCATGCCGCCTAACTCACCAACCCCAATGAGAACTTACATAAAAACGGTAGGCACTCTAGAACCACCCACACCGTCTGAAATAGCCCAACATGGATTATCAACTGCGGTGCTAGGAATACGCAGAAGACCAAGCAATCTAAATATGAGATTGGGCTCAGAATCATCTTGATAGACGGATGTAATAATCTGCAATGCTACCCATGAACGCAATGCAAATAACCGTCTATCACTTAATAGCAATCATATAGGTGATAGATATCTCTGGCAATTGATGACAGGGACACTTTGACACTAGGCGAGTTACCCGTTGTTAGCTCAATGCTCGACGAAACTCAATTGCTTAATTCCTTCGTAGAAGTATGATTCGTCATTGGTTGGTGACGTCGAAGATTGTATCCAAGAGTTTGATGATCAGATTCACAGCCAACCATCGAGGTCTAGTTGCTCAGCTCATGTCACGGAGAAGAGGTTTAAACACAACAAAGCGCAACTTGGAACTCGACGGCTAATTATCGCGTGACGTATTGTCTTGAATTACCTAATTGTTTGACAGGCAGAATGGAGTCAGAAAAAGTGCCCCATGTGCTAATCTTACTATTTGCACTGTCACTAAAACTATCCCCCTTGTTACACAACAGGCATTTTCTACCAATTATGATGAGTATACTTGGTATAAGTTGCCAATATAAGCACAGCAAGGGATACTAACTTGCACAGTCCAATACAGTAGGATTAGCACATGGGCGGTCTTTTCTGACTCCATTCTGACAGGGAAGTATTATATGTGAGACAGTAGCAACTTTTAATAGTGGAGACTGCTATTACACATAGCATCCATGGATGTAGCCCTAGAATATCGAACAATTCCAGATCAAATTCGAGGCATGAAGCTTTGCAGTAGAATCGCATGCTAAGCTGCTAGTATGTGGGATAGGCCCGATTCGCCTTTTTTTATATTAATATATGATTTTTTTTTCCGTAATGTGTTATTAAATGAAGTCATTGCTCTGATTTGTATTGGTTTTAAAGGAATATGAGATTCTGAAATCTTGAAGACCTAGCTATGTACCTCCTACCTACGAAGCAATTTAATGATAAAATTTACACTCGTCGGATAATCTATAGGCACCTGTATTATTGACTTATACAACCCCCACCACTATATTCTCTCCCGTAAATCGATCTGTTGCAACTCAAGCATGGCGAAAACCTCAAGCACAAAACATCAAAATGGCAAAAGAAAAAGAAAAAAACAATGGTCCCAGAGAGGCTTGAACTCTCGGCCTTCGCATTTACTCAATATTTCCTATTCGACACAGGAGGATATTAGTACGACGCTCTAACCAACTGAGCTATGGGACCGCTAAGATGCGACGAAGTCACACCGTGGATCATGTCAACCGGCGCTCTAACAAACTACTTGTGTGTAAGCGACCAATCTATTTCTAGACCCTACTCTTCCTCTCTCTCCTATTCTAAATAAATTCTCAGATATTCTAAACTCCCCTTCTCATTCCTATTCTCATTCCCTTACCCTAAATCCATCCATCTAATTATGAGCAACCTCCAAAATCCTCTTCTCCATCTCCTCAAACGCCCCCAACACCCTGCCATACTTCTGAAAGACCCCATCACGAAACCCATCATCGACCTTCTGAACAGCATCCTCCTCCCTCCACCGCTCCCCAATCAGCTCATCGAAACTCTCATCCCCATCCCTGCGCTCAAGCGCCCAGAGCGCTTTATACGCGCCCCCAAGCGCACACGCATTGCCCCCAACATCAAGCTTATACACCCCATCCGCACCCCCGAGCACATCGCCAATAACCCTTGCAATAGCCGGGTTCAGCGACCCCCCACCAACAAGATAAATCCGCCGCGGCTGCGCGGGTAAATGCAGACGGTCGCTTGGTGAGGAAACAAGGTTATGCGACCTCAGCCGCATAGACAGAGCCTGGGACTCGACGATAGCCCTCGCGTCCGCCTCCGGGCCCCAATCCCCCGTCTCCTTCAACCCGGCGCCGTCCTCGGCGCTACATATATACCGCCACGTCCCCGCCTTGATATTCGGCACGATCTCCGGGAGCGGGAAGTACAGCCCCAACTTCGCGGTGTCCCCCTCCTTCGCCACCCCCAACGGCGGCGTCTCAAGCACCCGCCTATTAAACCCGTCCCACGGATCCGCGCCCCCCGGTTTCGGGAGGGTATCACGGACTTTTTCGCGGGCGAGACCGCCGTTCTTATAGCATAGCATGAACATGAAATGTCCCTTCGTGGTGGGATGGTTCATGAAATGGTAAGACGGATCCGGCTTGTAATTCGGGGTGTTCATGAGGAACGTGCTAGAAGTGCCGAGGGAGACGATGGCGTCGAGCGGCCGTAGCGGCAGAGACAGGATCGTGGCGGGGTTGTCGCCTGTGAAGGGCGCGACTTGGCACGTTGGGCTGAACCCGTACCGCTGCACGAAGTACGCCGAGATCCCGCCTAGGCTGCCGCCCCCGTCGATCGGCACGTCGCCTAGTTTCTTCCGCAGCTCCGGCACGCCTTCTTTCGTTGCGGTTAGTTCTAGGAGTGATTCGTTCCATTTCTCGCCCGCGATGTCCCAGAGGTTCATGCCTGTGACGTCACTTATGTCTATTGGTGCGATTGCGCCGAGGAACAGTGATGCGAGGAATGAGGATGCGAGCGAGATGCGCGCGGTGTTGCTGTACACCTCGGGGCGTCTTCTTCGCATTCTCAGAATTTGGGTCCCTGTGAAACGCTGCCTTTTGTCAGCTACCTATTTCTACGTTAAAGGTTGGTTAGAGTGCGAGGTCGCATACATGATGAGCGGCACTTCCCGTGGCATCAGCCAGCTTCTGTTTCGAGCCCAAGTGCGCGTCGAAATGGTCGCATTCGGTCTGCGTGCTATGGTCCTGCCAATTCGGCGCAAATTCATAGGCGAAGGCGTCAGAAAGCTGCTCGAGCAACGTCTTCCCACCATCGAGTTTCTTCAACGCAGACTCGCCATGCGCGCTCCAGTACACGCTCGAATGCTGTTGACCAGAGCCGCTAATGCCTCTTATATGCTCCACAGGACATCCCTTCTCCTTTAGGCGTGTGAGGACGAGGTCTACGGCCTCAACCCACATGGCCACCGGTTGGTAGACTTCGCCCTCATCTTCGTTCGTTTGTACTCCCTTTGTGATCTTGTACTTCGTAGCATAATCAGCGTCAAAGTCGACCTTGGCTTCAGAAATTACTTTTAAATCTGAAGCAATTACAATTGCTGTAAATGTATGAACGATTAGCTAAAAATGTCTGTTTGATCAACAGTTGGTTATCAACGGAGCTAACTTGCCCTTTAATTGCTGGGTCGAGAGATCGAACCCGAGGTATAACGGGCCACCGCTCATACTGACTGACTCAAGTACACCTTAGCAGCGATAACAAGCGCATACAGCTGTCGATTCAGGGGTAAGAAAAAGACTAAGACCAATACAAACTCCAGGGTTTAAAAACTGGACATAACTAGATGGGAATTCCAAGGCAGAGGAAACAGTGCTAGCATGAATCATGAGCTACTAATAAAAGTCCCTCAGATTTACTTGCTGGTCTGATCGGAGCTGTTGATGCAAGATTTACGAATGCTATGACACCAAAGACTCAGATCTCGGTATGGCGGGGCAATGCATGCCCTATCAATTTAGCCTAAAGCGCCATCCGCTCCAATCATCCAAATCGATAAGCTCTAGAACATCTGGAACATCCAAAATCGCATACCTTTAGAACCACCCCGTGGCGCCGAGGTCGATACGTGTAACGATTTATCACGATATGTCACGGTTAAACGTCTCCGAACTCGCATATCTTGCGGATTCTCAATATTTATGTGTATTGCTCGGAGGTCCAAGATCGTGAACTTTGCTATGCTAATTCCAAAGGGGTAAAGCAGTTACGTAGCTAAGGGACCCCAAGGTTCTCTCTCCCAAGTCTCGTATGTGTTGCTTGCTTGATCCGGAACTGCCCCTTTCTCTCTACATTTGCTATGCCCTACCACCTGCAAATGCTATCTCTAGAAAGTGCCAAATGCTAAGGTCTTTCCGAATATCGTGTCCGCCAATGCTGGTTGAAAATATGGTACATCTAAGCTCTGTTAGAAGAGCTGCGTCGTGATTTTGAACTTCTTCAGTGTAGTTTTGGTATCATAATTGTGCCAACCGCCCAAGTTGCCGAGGCTTAACCCAACTCCTTAACGCCAAAAGGTAATCATCTCTTTCTTCCTAACCGACTCATTTCGATTTATGATCCCCATTGCCGTTATGGTGGTTATGATTGTGGTTGTGGTTGTGATTGTTCTCGTCTTCCTCAGGCTCAGGGCTCGATCGAGGGCTGACATCACCAGGGATAAATTCGTCGAACTTCTCTACAGTGACGTCCTGTGATACGAAACGGACGCGCACTCGGCGAACACCACGAACCTTGCCACCAACACGTTCTCGGATTTGCTGTTCAGCATTGCCAAGTGTTTCGATGGCCCACCCTCTCGGCACAGCTACCTCGAGATCCACCAGATAGTTTTGCCCTGATTTGACACCTGTGACATCCCTAAGCTCGATCTCTGATCCATTTATTATTGTCTCGAAAGCAGCTCGAGCCTGCTTCTGCACTGAGACCTTGACTTCGTCTTCAATGCTTCGGTCTGCGAGTTCGAAAAGGGACGACACTGTGTTCTCGGCCCCAGCCTTCACTACCATTAAGGAGATGAGTAAACTACCAACAGGATCTAACCAGCCCGCGTTCGTGAAAATATTGGCACCCAGGATCACTCCGAGGGTTACAATGCCCGTAAGACTGTCAACTCGGTGGTGGATCGCATTCGACGAAAGAACGGAGGATTTGCGCTCGCGGGCAACTTTCATGGCTATTGCGAAAGCATATGGTTAATTCCTGCGCCATGACCACGACTCGAAAATGCAATTGAAGGACTTACTAGCATGATACAGCCATTCTTTGATGGCAACTGTGCCGGCAGCTAACCAAACAGCGTGGATGCTTGGAATGGCATCACCGCCATGATCGTGGCCGTGGCCGTGTGAGTGAGCATGTGTCAATAAATCCGCTGCTGCTGCAGGATCGAGGAAGAAATGTCCGTAAAGTGTTAGGAGACTACCATAACCCATCCAGATACCCCCAAATAGAAGCATGCTCGATACGCCCAATGATCCCAGACTCTCAATTTTTCCAAAGCCAGCTGGAAATTTGTCGGTTGGTGGTTTTAAACTCCATGAGATGGTCGCTAGTGTTAAGATGTCGGAGGCGAGATCAGTCAAGCTGTGAACTGCATCTGCTACCATAGCTTTGGAATTGAATACATAACCACCAACTCCTTTCGCAATTGCCATACCAAGGTTGGAATAGAGACCAATTCGAGTAATGCGCACTCCAGCATCATTCTTATTTTGAGAAGTTAAGTAAACATTATCGTGGTGGTGAGTATGGCTATGTTTGTGGCCACTATGGCTTCGCGTCTGAGTGAGCGCGGCCATTATGGGGAAAGAACGTTGATGTTGTCTGGGAACAAAGTGTGAAGAATGTGTGATAGAAGTGGCAGAAGTGGCAGAATAAACGGAAATAGATTGAGATTGAACGGAAGAAGTTTGGAAGATGCGACGTGGTTGTGAACGAATTGGTTTATGTGTCCAATAAGGCTTACACAAAGCTGGAGCTGCTTGTTCCTGACGGATAAAACTTGCGCTCAAGCCTAGGCCTCCTGCCGATGTTGCAAGCTCTGAGCCAGCTGCCACAGCCCGGCGCAGACCGCTGCTGCCGCCTAAGCACGGCCTACCAGTCCCTTGTGGAAACATCGAATAAGGAAATGTTTCGCCGGAAGTTAAAAAAAATGACAAGAACGACAAGGGGGTTAAGGGTAGGTATGGAAGGCGACGCGCGTTGGGGCTTGGAACCAGCAGATCGACTGGAGGCTAGAGGCAAAGAATAAAAAAAATAATATCTAAAATGAGAATCGTCGTTGTGGGAGGCTTGCGATGCGTGCGCGTTCCTTGAACTGCGACGACATCGGATGGGTCGGGCCTGTAGAAAAGTACCAATTGGAGCTTACGCGATTCGATCTTTCTGGTGAACGGAGGTGAGATCCTGGACTAGAACTGCGTCAGCCCGCTGCCGAATGTGGGTACCTTCCCCCCTAGCACCTAGCACAATTGGAAACCCCTACATGATCAACCCCTACAAGCCTAAGGTTCCAGGGCATTAGCAGGGTTACCTTCCCCCCATCTGCAGGTGCTCCGGCCTAATACGCTGTGAGAAAGTCGCATCTCCCATTGAATGCCCAGAGTTGAAGACGAATCCCCTATATTGGAAGTACTATGTATACATAATCACTTGATATGTACATATCCTCTATAGTCACATATAGCTTATCTCCGCTCGGTCGGCCTTAGTTAGAAGATCTTAGATTTGTAGTGATGACTTCACTCTATCAAATATTGATTGTCCCAAGGTTTTCATCGCAAACTCCGATAGAACTCAGTGTGACATGAATATTTCGTATAGAAACTTATAATCTACCTTATATAATCACCCATCAACTAGCTGGATGTGAGTTTGTCACTCAAAATACCTCTCCAAATGCGCCCACCTTACATGCGAATCCCCTATACGGATGTCTTAGCTCCTCCTACCGTCTACCCCAGAACTGCAACAACCATAGCGGGAGCCATTGAGGCTCTGCAGAAATTCTTTCAAGTTCCCTTAGCAAAAGGTTCCCCTTCCACGGTAGTTCTCTCAGGGGCCGGTATATCCGTGGCTAGCGGACTAGCAGATTATCGAGGGCCTAACGGTACATACCGAGTGAACAAGACATATCGACCTATCTATTACAACGAATTTCTTCAGAACCACGAAGCTAGGAAACGATATTGGGCTAGGAGTTTCCTTGGCTGGACTACGCTTCTGAAAGGGAAGCCAAATGCCGGTCATTACGCGGTGAAACATCTAGGCGACTTAGGGCTAGTTCAGAGTGTGATTACGCAGAATGTGGATTCATTTCACCCCAAGGCTCACCCTGGTCTCCCCACGATTGAGTTACATGGTTATTTAAGATCTTGCGTGTGCATTTCATGCCGCGAGGAATTGCCCCGAGACACATTTCAGGATGAGCTAGCTAGGCTGAACCCTACATGGGCAGCTTTCCTACAGGAGATACTAGCATCTGGAGCCTTGGATACGGAGAATCCAGATGAAAGACGAGCCAAGGGGTTGAGGACGAATCCTGATGGTGACGTTGACCTTCCAGACGCACCGTACACGACATTCCGCTATCCCGCCTGTCCAAGATGCCTCGAAAATCCACCTGAGATCCCCGATGGAAGCCGTGCAAAGGTCGAAGTCGATGCGGACGGCGCGTGGAACCCGGCGAGTACAGCTGGTATACTAAAGCCGGCTGTCACTATGTTTGGGGAGAACATACAACCCTCCGTTAAATTGACCGCAGACCAAGCTATTGACAATGCCGGGAGTTTGCTGGTTTTAGGGACATCTCTCGCAACATATTCCGCGTGGCGGTTAGCTAAAAAGGCCAAGGATCGCGGTATCCCTATCGCGATTATCAACCTTGGAGGCGTCAGAGGCGAAGATGCTTTCTTTGCCGATCTTGACCCATCCCAAGAAGGGGGGCAAGGGGCAAGGATAGAGTTATCTACCGATGAATTGCTACCAGCCCTCGTAGAGCAATTGAGGCAATCTTCGAGCATAAAGGCTGCCCAGGAGAAATATGATCATAGTGTCGAGGAACACGGTGCCTCGGTATTCAAAGACATGATGTCGTAATGCCATATAGCGACCATATTGTATATATTATATATACTTAATAATGGAGTCAGTAGACTAGAAGAAACTTGCATAGCTTCCATTTTTCTTCTTCGGTGGTACCGTATTATCCGTGCTTGTAGCTTCTGTCTTAGCAGGAGTAGAAGGAGCCGCTGTTGGTTTCGTGTTTTCGGTCTTATTCACGTTTTTGAGGATATCGTTATTCTCGATTTCCCTTAATGCTTCTTCCCATTCTTTTTCCTTTTCAGCGTCGCCAGTGCCCAACGTCTTTTCAACATCTACCTCTTCGCCTCTCTGTAGCTTCTCTACGACCTCGCGCAGCAAACCGATACGCACTTCGGCTCGCCTTACATATGTGTCAAAGTCTTTCTTCAGGGCAATCATCTGGATAGACATGGACCCGATGAAAAGAAATATTACGATGTAGAATGTCGCCGGGTTCCACTCTTTCGACTTGGGTTTTTTCGGCGCGCCCCAATCCGCAGCTTGTTCTGAGCGTCGAAATGGCTTCGGTACCAAGCTCTTCCAAAATGATGGTTGTATTATCGATGGAGCTGAACTTGCCTGTCGAGTAAATTGGTGTCCATTGATAAATATCAACCGCGAAACTCCTGGACGGAGAGTAGAATTAATATTTGCGGCTCTACGCCATATTAATTTGTTCATGTTGAAGAAATAGCTAGGTGTATCAAGTTGAGTGAAAAAAGGACTCGATATTGGACTAACTCGAAGATTTGACTTAAAAGACTGGAAGTAGAGGGGTACCTAGGTACTTAAAATAAAAACCAAATCGCCGTCGACTTCCCCAGCTTAGGTAATATAACTGCCGGTTGTTGTCTTGCCAACAGCTCTAGCCTAATTAGGTTAAACATCATCCACTTTTGAAGTTTACATGGGTTCACGCGGAGCAAATCCACTTGAGTCACCTAGCTTTCACGATCTTCAACGTGAAGTACAACATTCATTGTTGTGTTTCCACTTTCAATTACGCCTTAGAAAGCATCTCTCTAACACACTCTTTTGCAAGTCTTAGAATTCCTATGCAATCATTTTGCTCTCTTTAGCTGGCGTGTTATTCCTCTTGCTTTTGCTCACAACTTTCTTACTACTTCAATTCCGCCTAGATTTACGATTCCTGTCCTCTCTCACTCTCTAATTACGATGATATGAAGTAGGAGTTCATGCATTTGCGATTCAATTAACACAGCATGGATTCTTTGGCTGCGCGTGCGGATACCGTCCGCAATGCAGTCACATCTATATCGACATGTAATCCAACCGTCTCTGCGACATTGAAAGACTTATTCCAGACCAATGACACTAGTAACGATTCCGCAAAACCAGGCCCGAGGCCGCGAACAACTAAGATTTCCCGCGCACCGAGCAAGGCGAATACAAATTCCGTAGCACGAAATGCGTCTGATAATGGACAGTCCTTGACAGCGAAAGAGAAGGCCATATTAGCTACTCAAGTCATTACTGCAAGTCTCAAAGCTCTAGGTGAAGCAGCAAAGACGGCATCTAGCCAAAGTCAGGACACACCCGAACCGCCCAAAAACGTTTTAGCCAAATCTGCAGTTCGCAATGTAGTTCAAAGATCGAATTCAGTTCCAATGAAGCCTATACAGCGCCAATTGAATCGTACTACAACGTCACCCAGTGTACCAAAGACGATTCGGTCACCTACTCCTCTCCCTTCCTCGACGGGCTGTCTATCATTAATAGAATGCGTACGAACATCCTTCTCGGCACTGTCAGCTCTGGAGTCGTCAAAGGCCCTCCACCTCCCTGCATTCCAATGGGAAAATGGAATGTCCTCCTTCATCAATAAACTTATCAGTCTTAATCACTTTGACTTGGCGATCAAGGAACTCAAAATATTAAAACGACGATTAGAACGCAAGGGCGGTGAGGATGTCAAGAGTACGGCGACACGTACAAAGGTGGAGTCCAATATGAGTTCACGAACACTACCCGAGTTGCTAGATTTCACCAAGACTACTATTTCTAGTCCGGCGCAACTTGGCTTGATGATCTCTTGTCAACTTCAGGTTCTTCGAATTACCCATGGCCTGAAGAAATCGACATACCTCGAGGGCATGCTACCTTTCCTCCGCGAAGACTGCTTAAATTCGCCTATAAAATTGCTTCTACTATCTCTCAAGGACGATAACCCGGACCAGACGAAATGCGTCAGGAATCTAGAGAGTCTATCACAAAGCCTTCTGTCCCTCACACCGGGTGTTTCTACGAAGGATGACGATACTGCGGTCGAACCTAGACTCTCTCCTAATACCGAGGTAGCATTAGAGGTGCAAGCGCTTGGCCTGGTTATCCGATTGCAGTCCTGGAGCGTCTCTGGCCATAGAGGCGATGTAGACAAGGATATCTTATCGCCTTTGTCTAAGTGCCTAGGTGCCTTCGTAAGAAGGTCGCCTTCTAGTAATTTCTCCATTATATTCTCAGTATTCTCCCAGATCTGGAAACGTATCGAGAAGTTAGGCCTTAGACCAACCGAATCGTCGCGATCTCCCTTAGCTGCGATATACCAGGTACTTGCAATAGTTGCAAGAGAATCTGGTAACGCCAACGAAGCTAAGAAATGGGTTGGTAAAATCAAATCCTTGACCGATCCAAGCGAAGACTCTGCCGCCAGATGCTGTTCGATTGCCGCGCAGCTGCTCGCACTCTCCCTCAAGCAATGGTCTCAGATTAATGAGAATCTGCTGATGGAAGTGCTAGAAGGACTTCGAGGACCCCTTGGTGGCACTACCGCCGAGATGGATGACCTATTAGTTAGCGTCTGTCTTCTTCGAAAATCTGTGATGAGCTTGGTTGTGGAGAAGCGTGAAGGTTCTTCCTCCCTTTCACAAGCCACTATGAAGCTTCTAGAGTCTTTTATTTTTCAACTGCCGCGTTTCACTCTGAGATGGCTAGGTAAACCCCCAAGCTCAGCTAATGGTACAAAAGACCTACTTCGCTTTGAACAGCGACGAGGGACGCTATCAACGCAATTACCTCAAATTCTCGATTCTGCATTGCTATTCGCAAAGCTACTTCTAGACGACGGCCAATTGGCGTGGGATACGATGGATTCGACATTGCAAGATTGTTTGACTATCTTAGAATATATGGGAGACCTTGCTCGTCCTGGTACTAAGATTAACCCGACCCCCTCATATCACGTCAAAATCTCGCATTTCTACTATCAGCAACATCTCGCCCTACGAAAGGCCTCGTCGAAAGCAACCGAGGCTGCCTCCTTAAAAGCACTCCGAAAATCCATCGATAGTGTAAAGAATCGTTCTGAAGCTGAGCAATCCCGAGCGCAGTTGTTGGTCAAATGGGAAAGGTTTGCTGAGCTATGCCGAGCATCGGGTCGACAAGACGATGCGATAGACGCCCTTCGTTCGATCAGGGATCATCTTGTTCGACAAGAAGTTGTCCCCAAGATCACAGAGAAACTGGCAACGGAACCTTGGTCGATAGCATGGCAACTCAATCCCGACGTCGATCAACTATCACGGACAGTATGCAATCTTGCCAAGTTGGACCGAAAGCATAACGAATGGACTTGGTTACTCTCCGGCTCGAACAAGGCTACTGCTCTAGAGCACGACCTTTATGCAATTATCTTGAAAGATCCCAAGTATGAACAGGAGGCAGATTTATCAGGATCCATCGTCAAGTCGTTATTGCAGATTTATTCCGCGGAGCGATACCCGATTCGTAGGCTACGGGCCTTACTTCATCTTCTTGCAGTGAAAATCGGCGCACAGGACGAGGTTATCGAATTGCGAGGGGAAATCGAAGTTGTCCTGAAGATTATTCGTGGGGAGGCTTTGGCTGATGATTCTGGTCTTATCCGTTATGTCTCGCATCTACAAGCATTAGCAACGTGCATATTAGGGATTGCTACAGCGGATATCAATACGCCACCGGTCAAAGAAGCCCTTGCCAACTGGAAGACTATGGTCTCCAAATGCGAGTCAGCTGAGCAATTGTCTGCACATATCGATAACCCAACGCAGCTACTCACTATTCTCCAATCCCTGGTCGACTTCGCGAGAATAGAAGGCTTGGAAACCCTACAAACCGAAATTCTCGAGCTTTCAATAAGCATCTCCAAGCTTTCGCCAAGTAGCAACTTCGAAGTGCTGATAAGCCAAAGCATCGCGCTTTGCCAGCAGCATTTGAGCCATGGTTGGTCGTCGAAGGCCGAGAAGCTGTTGCAGGATAACGAGGAACGCCTTTCCCAACCAGATGCCGACCGGGAACTTGTAATTGCTTACCAATTGGTGGCCGCTGAATATCACTTGTCACTGGGTGCTATGGACAAAGCTGAACAGCACATGTCTAATGCACGCGATGCTGAGACAACTCTGTCTTATGAACCAGGATCAAGGAAGGGAAGGAGTGCCCATAAGAGAATCACAATCGCTCGGGCTTACTCCTTGATGTCAACTCTCGCCTTAGAACGAGGGGATTGCTACAATGCTTTGCGCTTTGCAAGAACCGCTGTTAGGAAATTGTTCCATGATTGGTCCAAGTTAGACGAGATGAGGAATGCCTCACACGATGCTACTATGGATGATTCTTCACAAGCAGAGGCTTCAGAGAAAGACCAGAGTCTAAACAACTCCTACCTAAGTCAATCTGATATGCCTCGCGCGGCTACCGGTCCAGAATACTGGGCATTATCGCACCCGTTGTTCCATTTTCTGCTACAGCTTTCTTCGGTCTACTCCCATGTCGGCGTTTACCAAGAAACTTTGTACTATGCCGAACAGGCACAAAAAGTGGCAAAGAGCATCGGATCAGCTGTGTACATGTCTCAAGCTCTTGCATGGATGGCGCATGTGTGGCTTATGGCCGGTAAATCGGAAAAAGCAATGGAGATTGCTACCGAAATGAAGCCCATAGCCTTAGACTTAGAACCAACGTATCAGAACGCCAAAGTGCTGTGTCGTCTCAGTTCTATCTATGGAGAACTTGAAGACCCGGAGACACAAGCGGAGCTACTAACCAAGGCTGAGTCTATGCTTGAGGTTTTAAGTAGTGCTGATAAAGATGCGAGCGATCCTATTGCAAGCGAGCTTGAAGCCAAAATGACCAAGCTTAGCATCGAGGAAAAGCCGGTCAGCAAAGTACCAGTACGTCGTAACACCACGAGAGTACCTAGAGCCACCAAAACAGCCACCAAAAAGCAAGCGCCAAAGAAGGCAATCCCAGCCCCCCCGGTTGAAGTTCTAGCACCGGTGAAAGTTGAAGACGCTCAGCTGTCTTTCCTGCGCGGGTTAATTCTTCAGAGCCAATCGGCTATCCTCATTGCGAATGATGACTGCTCGACGGCTGTAACTACTTTGCGATCCGCATACGAGCTTTCCCGGATACCTGCAGATGTATCCCAAATCTGCTTTCTAATGGGCGTTGCTCTGATAAGGCAGAGCTTAGAACAGATTGGACAAGATGCGGTATTTTCGGTCATTCAAGACTCCACTCTTTCGTTCCCTTCAGTAACGAGGTCGCTTAAGGAGCGCACCCCAGCGGATCGATTGTCTCTACCACAGACTCCAGCTCCTCGCAGAGGCCGTGGCCCATCGAAGAAAGCGATCAATGATACAAGATCGTTCATCGAGAAGCTGCGCGAAGCCCAAGGCCACTTATTAACGGCGCATTCAATCGCGAGCCTCAACGGAGATGGTGACTTAGTTCATCGAATAGCTGTGGCATTGCAGAGCGTTGTTATTCTTCTCTCGAACACGAATTCGACAAACCCAGCCGCGAGCCACCCTTTCCACGCCACCTGCGCCGTCGAACTTGCGCGTAATCTAACATGGCGTCGCGAACGAAAAACGGTGCATTTGGATTCTTCGAAAGACTCCAAGATAGACTGGCCTGTTCTGACAAACGACACCGGAAGCAGACGCACCAGTCTCGGACTTTGTCTTGATATGGACGGCCTCTTGAAGGATTTCGTCGACATCGTCCCCAAGACCTGGAATGTCGTTTCGTTGTCACTGAGTCATGATGAGCGGGATCTTTGCATTACAAAACTCCAAGGAGGCCAAGAGCCTTTCGGAATCCGTCTCCCACTTGAGCGAGCTGCTTTGAGAGATGCCGATTTGGAGGTGCTCAGTTTCCAGCAAGGACGAGCAGAGTTGCAGGAGATCATTGAGATGGCTAATCGCACATGTCATGATGCTCGGGACATGAGCCAAAAGGGCGCCAAGTCGGCATGGTGGGCGGAACGAGAGGAACTAGATGAACGCCTGAAGAGCCTTATGGAATGCATCGAGCAGTCATGGCTCGCCGGCTTCAGGGGCATCTTCTCCCAACATCGCAGGAGAGCGGATCTGATCGCAAAATTTGAAAAGGATTTTATGAAAATTCTTGATAAGCATCTTCCCTCGCGCCGGAAAGTTCACGGCAGAAAAGCAGCTGCGAAGCCCACGACGCGTGTCAACCTCGACCCAAGAGTTTACGACATGATTATAGGGCTAGGCGATCCCACCGCTCCCGAAGGTGATCTAGACGAACCACTTATGGACTTGCTCTACTACATCGTCGATATTTTACAGTTCCACGGCGAGAGAAATGCCTACGATGAAGTCGACTTCGACGAAATGGTAATCGACACATATGATGCTTTGAATTCGTACTACGTTACTGCTAAGGGCATTAAGGAGCCGGAGGAGGGCACTCATACGATTCTCGTTCTCGACAAGTCCTTACATCCATTCCCCTTTGAAGCTCTGCCTTGCCTACAAGGATTAGCCGTCTCGCGAGTCTTCTCGCTCGACTGTCTACGACGACAAATTCTAGACGCCAAACTTGCTGGCCCGGATGCTGCCAAGAAAGACACTGAAGAGACGAGCGGTCCCAATGTACGAGAAGGACACTACGTATCGGTTAACTCGGGTACCTATATCCTCAACCCCGGCTGCGATCTCAAGAACACCCAAGCCACCTTTGGGGAACCGTTATCGACTCTCCCTCTCACCTGGAACAACATCGAGATGCGGGAACCAACAGAAGCCGAATTCGAAGCTGCCCTTAAAGAAAAAGATCTATTGCTGTATTTCGGACACGGCAGCGGAGCGCAGTACATCCGCGGCCGCACTATCCGTAAAATGGAGAAGTGCCGCGCGGTCGCGCTGCTCATGGGCTGCAGCTCCGCCTCTCTCGCCGAAGTCGGGCGCTTCGAGAGCTACGGCACCGTGCGCAACTACATGCTGTCCGGCAGCCCCGCCGTCGTGGGCACGCTGTGGGACGTCACGGACCGCGACATCGACCGCTTCGCCGGCCGCGTGTTCGAGGAATGGGGGCTCTTGCCTAAAGGTTCGTTCGCGGAGGACGCGAAGGGGAAGAGGAATCCGGCTAGGAAAAGGATCGGTGTTGTGGAGAGTACTGGAGATAGACCGGTTAGCTTGACGGAGGCGGTGGGAAGGGCCAGGGATGCGTGTCGCTTTCGCTATTTGACGGCGGCGGCGGTTTGTGTTTATGGGATTCCGGTTTATCTTAAGGACCGGTAAGCGATAGACACTATACCTACTAGGTATTGATTAGTTGGAGGTGGTGGGTTAGGGGTGCTTGCATGTGGCTACCGTTAGGGAGAAGTAAGAAAGGGGAATAGAGGTAGGGGGAGGTGGGAGGTGTTAAGATGAAGATTAGGTAGAGAGGTGCATTGCGAGGCGTTGCGGTGGAAGACTCATAGGCCCGGCGTTCTAGATACCAGGTGCTGGTTTTTTGTCTATTTCTGCGCTGGGGTGTTGGTTTGTTGATAGGATAGGATAGGATGGGATAGGATGGGGGAAAGGGTTGTCTGAATACGCTGTGTTAATGAATTGAAATTCTGTTTCTTGCATGTTAGGGGTTTTGTCTGTCTGTCTGGTTTGTTGTGGTGTTTCGTGATTAGTGCTGACAAGATGGTTGGTTAGGTAAGTTTAGGGAGGGACGGCGAAACTGGTCTACTTGGTTCGTTCTGGTTCATCGGTGATGAGTAGTTTATTGACATTTCAATACACAGCAGCACAGGAGAAGAGAAGGAGGATGTTAATTCAACGCTATTCTAACAGACCAGAAATTAGTCTTTGCAGACTTCACCCAGCCATCTCTGCCTCAGCCATCAGAGCCCCAAGTACCGAGGGAGTGAAGTAACTACCGGACGGCCTCCCACTACTGCATATCTATAGATAGTCCTGCCAGGTCTAGACGCTCGGCGCGACAGCCAGGTTTATCGGACTCTATGACCTGGGATCTCAGAGATGGATTTAGGAAGGGGAAGGGGGAATAGGGGTTGAGATGTAGTGAGATATGTTGTTTGTTTGTTAAGATGGCTTACTTACTTACCTATACACGCTCGGTAAGGGATTATGCTTTGGTTTGGCATACATACATACATAGGAGGTAGGTAGGTATCTATGTGGTGTGGTGTCGGTATGGCCCGAACGTGATTATGCCGGTGGTATATGGGTTGTGCAGCGGTAACGGGTATCGGCCTCTATCCGAGGAGAAACATGTCGGGTGGCTTGTAGTGCTTGCTCTATCTTTTTCTCTACCTTGGGCGTTACAGTAAAAGTGTATCGTGTGAGCTCGGTAACGATGAAGATGGAGACGAGCGTGTGTTCGTCAACTGCGAACTCGAAATCGGGGTGGATCAGCTGTGGGTTGGGATCCTAGCTATCTAAGTGGTCATCAAGGATACATACGGGTCGGTCACGGAAACAGCTCTATCGCCTCAAATTTCTTGTCCGAGCCGTTACATATCTCGTCGGTGGCAAGGAACTATGTGGGATCGATGACGAGGGAGATGATGAATAGAGGAGTTAGACGAAACGTCTTCGAGTTCGCCAAGTATGTTACCTGCTCTCGTCTTTGCATGTGCTTCCTCGCCATCGATCCTACTTAAGACCTGGTGGACATGCTCTCTCGGGGGCAGCGATGGTTTCGTCGTCCCGCCACGATTACCCACCTACGTACGAGAGCACGCTGCAGTGCCAAGGTGATCGGGGCCAGCCACCGGCGAGCGTCGACAGATACGGTTGAATCTACCTTTTTGCGCTGTATCTCTACGTCCGGGTGGCACCAGATCTGAACTAGACCAGATCGGAGAAGGATATGGCGATGCGGAAGGCCCGGTGGTTCTAAACTAAGTCTCTCCTGTCTTTCTCCAACCTCCTTCGTTCGAAGTGATACCCCCCTCCCATCAAAATTCTAGCCCCGATCTAGGTGCATCTTTCTCTCTTCTGATGGTAGATGAGAAATGGCCCGAATAATGGGTAGCGGTAATACCCTCTGAGGTTCACTCTAGGTGAGCCCTCGATGGCACGGTTGTGCTCGGCCGCAGGACGACCATGCCACAGCGTAGCCGTCGAGTAACCCTTCTACCTACGGTGCGGTGATAGTGCTAGAAGCGGCCATTCACCCACGATTCACCTGAAATTACTCGAAGGGGGCTCAAGATGAACGACCAAGCAGATCACATGTGGGCATCACTTCCCTTTCCTTTAATTTTCTGTCTTCTCTCCTTTTTATGACTACGGCAAGGGCATGTATCAAAAGACGTTGTGCTACCTCGCAGTATTGGCTCTCATGCGCTACGCCGGCGAAGTCCATCCGGCGAAGAAACTTCGGGGGCGCTCAGGGAGGACATGGATAAACGTGCCACAGAGATCACCTATTACCTCCTAGCCTAGCGCAGATCTCGAGGGTCCACGTCACACAGACCGTAGAGAGAAGAATTTAGGTAACAGAGATTAGAATATTACACACTTTTATTTTTCTTACTATTGCAAAGTTGTGCGTTGCATGCTTTACCGTCTCGTCCTTCCCGTATCATCCTGGGAACTCTGGTAGTCTGGGGAAGGTAAATCATTGCGTGATTTGGCCGATCCTCTTATGAGCGACAGATTATGTGACAGTTACTATATATAAATATAGGCATTTTAGTTACTTTGAGTTAGTCTCTATGCGAGATATTGTGTGGATGGTAGGTAGGTACCTAGCCAGCATAGGACACAGATTGTTCTACCGTATAATGGAATAATACGGACACTGTTTCCTGCTCTATCAAGTAGTCGGAAGTTATGCTGCTTCCGAAGTTGGCCGATCGAGTAGAGACAAGTAGCCTCCGTCCTCTCTGCCTCTAATACTCGGTGTTGTTCCGATACGGGGATATATATCCCCATGAGAACCGAACTATCCATGGCAACTGTGTACCTAGGTACGGCGCTTATCCATAGTCGCTTTTATGAGAATGAAGCAGTTACTGGATGAGAGAGACTACCAAGAACTTAGGTAATTCCCCATGCTGGTAGGTTGTTCCTGGTAGGTGTCCATCCGCCTTCGACGACAAGGCTGGAGCTTGAAGAGTGTAGGTTGCACAGCGGCACCAGAATGGTAGACCGTTAGCAACGCCAAGCTTGGATGGGTTTTTTATTCTCCCATGATATCCAATTCGCTACCGAGGTCCACATCCGGTATAAGTTAAAATATGTCGGGAATTTCGAAATATTCCATGACTGTTCTGCGCAGCTGGATGGGGAACGGCGGTAAAATACGTATTGTCCACATTAAGCGGGATGCGCAGGGGTCCCCTCCTCTTTTCGGTGTCCCTTGGGCTATAGCTAGAGTCGCTTCTTTAACGGACCGAGTCAATGTATGTATGATGATGTCTCGGTCGCATGCTTCTATCTTCTCTTATTCTTTCACTTTGTTCTTTCCACATTCTCTCTCGGCCGTGTCTGCGCGTCCACTGCAGTAGACAGATGTACCACGAGACCATCTGTAACATCGGTTCGTGGACAAGTCTCGGTATCGAGACGAGAGATACATAATGCAGTGAGACCTTACCACAAGGCGCATCTCGCCTCGCTTTAGGACACGTCAGGAAGCTTAATCATCATCAAAGCCTCATGGTAGATGATAGATAGGCGTTAAGCGTCAAGGACGCGCAAAACTTACAAGACTCAAAGTGTTACATGAGAGAATGGCGTCTCATACCGTTGAGGTTGACTGTCCCTTGCATTTCTTTAACCACAGATGACCTCCGGTTGGTAGGATCCATGTTACTTAGGACCAACAATGATACGCCTAGCGATGATCCGGAACTCTAGACGACATCTGTTGAGGGAACTCTCTCGAATGAAAGATGAATGTATCTCTTCGGTAAGACAAAGGGAAATTCTGGTATGTGTGAGCTGGCAGGTATGTATTGGATGTAATGTATGTATGAGTGTAGCAGTATGTAAGTAGGTAGATACCGTATGTAGGTATGTAGGTATGTTTGATATGTACCTAGGTAGGTAATGAGAGATATCTAGTCAAGATAGAGGCCGATTTCGCCACCCCTGAATAGAACATTATGGTAGGCTTCTAGCGGGTCCGGGGGTGGCCAAGCCAAGTTAAGAAGATGTATGGTAACATTCCGAGATGTGCATGAGGTCGCCCCCGTGGTGGTAGAGGGTTTGTCGATACAACCGATCGACATAACAAACCAAGTTGGCGCGCGTATTGCTGTATAGAAGGAAATGATAATAATAATAAAACAAAACGCTGGTAGACGAGCGAAATAAGGTCTCGCGGGACTTGTTCGCTCTGGCGGATGCAACACTCTTTTTTCTGGGGGTAATATAAAGCGCGAGACTTGAGGCCTGTCATGCGGCTTTGCGGTAACCTTCTTGCAGATAAGCCATGATGCAGATTTTTGCCCGGAAATTACTATAGATGAGCGAAACGAGATATTGACATAAGGGGCAAGGCTAATCGGAAGGTATATCTCCAAATAGGAAATGGTTCAAGCCCAATTTTGTCGAAAAGATCGCTCCAGGGCAATTGAATCTATTACCTAGAAGTACTCATGTCAGCTCTATCCAGCCAATCTTATCTACCTGTTAACCCGTTTGCCAGTGAGCGAAAGCCTCTTCCTTCCGCGCCATGTTAAGTGTAGCTATAATAGATATAACTGAGCGGGTCTCATATATGCATGGTCAAATTCGAGTAAGAAAAAATTTGATCAACTCTACCCTCCCTGGCTGCCTGAGCAATTGTTTCTCCGCTGCTCCAGGTCGATCAACGAAAATCAATGAGATTAGATTCGATCGTGCAAAAACATGATTTTCGTAATCTCTTGGTCAGGTCGCTGTGCTGGTACTACATCATGATCTGCGACGGGATGTGGCTTGCTAGTAGGCTTGTCTACCTAGTTGCCTAGTAGTTATCTAGTAACATCGTAACATTAGGGTCCTGTCGTGCTGGACGATCTACGGAAAAGGTATGGTTGCCTTCGCATCCGAATATCACTCTCCTGTAGGGCACCGGGCTGTCCGGGGTTTCCATCACTGACCTGCGGGCCAGTGGTAGGACGACATGGGTTGGATTGTGTGATTAAGACATGGCAAGAAGAATCATGTAAATAATAAATAAAAAATAAGAATAATAATAAAATAATCGAGATAGTCAGGAGCTTGAAGAGCTTCTAACAGCTCGGCATGAGCTTAGTTGTTGCTGACATTCCTGTTTGTGCATATTCTAAGTGATTTGACATAGACCGAAAGAGGGAGGATGAAAACCTGACAAGAACAAAAGGAAAGATGAGAAGGATGGGGTACGAAGTAATGGATTAATTAATCGCTAGGAATTACTAGGTTATTGCTGATATTTTATTCGGAAAAGCAGATATGTATTAGGAGGGGACTTCGAGAGAAAGAAGGAGAAACCCCCGGCCGAAGAATGCGCGGCGGATGCACGCAATGGAGGTAAGCGCAAGTCGTCAACCGCGTGGACATGTAATTGACAACCGGCCATAAAAATGGCCGAGAGAAGGAGCAGAAAACCAATAAGAATTTCTAGAATTCCAAGCTCCGA